TTCACAATTCTTAATGTCTGACTCTGACCGAAGGGTGAATCTAAAATACAAATTCCGAAAGATTTACGTGAGCTCATCGTGAGCTGCCCTTTCTTTGATTTTATATTCATATCATCAATAAAAAATTGAAATTTAATGGTATTCTTTTAGAAAAAAAGGATATAAAAGATGTTAAAAATCGTAATATTTTAACTCAGATATCTGAAAAATCAAAATATCAAATGAAGAAATAATACCTAATCTGACATTTTACAAATATAGTTAAATAATAGAAATACCTTTTATCAAAAAGTTGAACCGGTAATAACAAGTGTTAATCAGTAACTAACAAGCTATTTATTAAAAAATAGTGAACTGATAATAATAAGTATTGAATAACTAATGACAAGAAATATATTGGTAATAATAAGTTTGATAGCTTTTTTTTTTAAATCTAATATAAAAATATTTTAGTCATTTAATTATATTTATAAAACATCATATCACATGTGACTTTCTTTCTTAAAATTTTGACCTTTTAAATATCTAAATTAAAATATTGTAATTTTTAACCTCTTTTTTATATTGTATTTTCATGCTCGTATGAAAAGTTGCCGTGTATCACTCTTGCTCCCATGACAAAATATTTTCTTTAAAAAAATTCTATTATTTCTTAATACGTAATTTATAATGTTGAATACAACTGGCAAAAAGAAAAAACTTGAATAAAGTGAGATTTTATGATTATTATTATAAATGATTATTTAAATTCAAAAATCTGAAAAAAAAAATCACCAGAACTTAACAAATTTCAAATCAAACACAATATTAAATAGGAATTTTAAAATATTGATAAATTTATAATGTTATTTTTTATTCAGATTTTGTTTTCGCAAAGAGACTACTTGCTATTTTTATATTTTTAAACTCTTAGGATTTAATGATTTTTTTTAATTTTGCTTCTATATTTTTTTTTTTTAAAGTCATTTATTATATTTTTTTACTTATTTTATTTATTAATAAGGACATATTTAAAAAAAATGCATTCATTTGTATTTATTATTTTATACTGATTTTAATAAAATTGGGATATTTTGTTTTATTTATTAATCTTACTTCCGATCTTTAATACTCCTCTAGTCCTAAATATAAGATTCTTGGTCTTATATTTAGGACTGAAGGAGTACTACTTTTGATTCTTAATATAAGATCTTATTTAATTTTTATTTTGATCTGAAATATAAAATTCTAATCTACTTTGTCTATCATATTTATCTATTTTTTTCAAGATAATCTTTCTAATAATAGTAGTTTTAGCCAATAAACTTGATTTACAAGAACATTTTAGGAAAGACAATACTCATTTATTACAAATAACTAACTGAACTTATTTTTTTAATCTACTCAAAAAAGTCAACTAGTTCTTATATTTAGAACCGAAGGTAGTATAAGAATTAGTTAACGAATTTGAATAGATTAAAAAAACTATTTACGTTAGCTATTTATAATAAATAGGTATTATTTTTTCTAAAATATTTTTTTTGTCAATTATATTATCAAAACTATTATTATTATAAAAATTATCTTAAAAAATAAAACCTAAAAAGCTGATTAAAGGGGTGTTTGGATAGAAACCAAACCATGGTTTCAGAAGTGCTTTTACGGATTACGAAGTAAATATGTGGAGGAGGTTACCTCGTTTTGCGGAAAAGTGATTCTGAAACCGTGGTTTTGGTTTTCTCAAGCAACCCCTAAAAAGGGCCACGGAGAAGGCGGCGCGTTCAACCTAAAAAAGTGAACAATCAATGACGTCACTAAGACCACGGCTTCAACTCTTCAGAGCGCCGTATACTGACGTGTCTGGGTCCTACTTTTCCTTTCTTTTGCAAACACATTTTGTCAAAATTTTTATTAAAAATTATTAAAAAAATGCTTTTATGAAGAAATGATAAAAAATATTCATAAAAAAATGTGGTCTTTTTCAGTAAATTTCAAAATCACCATTTAGTCATGTATGTTCAAATGCGAATTTTTAAATTTAAGTATTATTTTTATGTTATTTTTTCTATTTTTATTCAGCTTAATGTCTATAAAATTTGATATCATTTCATTTTAATTCTTAATATTTGAAGCTGATGGTTTTATTCCTTTAAATTTTATTTTATTTTCGCTTTGATTTCCTAAATTTAAAATAAGTAGTTTTGTTTTCTAAAATTTAATCTTATTATAGTTTAGGTCATTATTATGAGGATAAAAAATCTTAAGAAGGACATAATGAAATCAAATTTTAGAAATTAAAATTATTAATTTGAAATTTAAGGAATTAAAATCAAAATGAAGGCACGTTATAGGGACAAAAAGCTTTGGTTTTAAATGAAATTAATTTTTAGGAACTAAAAATAGTATTAACTCATTTTATTTAGGAAAAATATATTTGCAAGTCCTTATAGTTTGATCAGATTTTGAATTAAGTCCTTATAGTTTTTTTTTATTGAATCCTTATGGTTAATTTTGTTAAATTTACAAATCCTTCCGTTACTAATGTTGCAAACACTATCAACCAACAATGGCAGATCATGGTAGAGGATGATATGGCAATGCGCTCTCTCTCCACTCCCCCAACTTTGTATCTCTCCCTCTAACCTTTCTCTCTCATCTGTTAAAGCCAACCATGATGAGTTTGGTGACACCTAAAAGGAGCAAAGAAGGACTGCCTCTTCGACTGGTCCTACTCCTCATCAACATGGACACATTGCTTCTATGCTGTTATAAGTTTGATTACGCCAAGACTGAGTATAGTGAGGATTGGCATTCAGCATTGTACCCATGGCAATTTTTTCAGTGAACTCCTATGCCCACTTTCATTAGCACTGCCACTTCTTTGTCTTTTGTTATAGATAAGCAAGATTTGATGCATTCATATCTTAGAGGAAAACTAATTGCCATAATTATATATATATATATATCATGGATCATGGAAATATGATAAATATGAAACTTGCCAAAAACAGAGTGTGCTAGCTCAAGTAGACTAGAATCAGAGTGATATGAAAAGGAGGTTATGTACATGCCAAAAATATTAGGAAAAACCATATTGAAGGTACCTATACTTTCTCTAAATTTTTAATTTGTTACCTATGTGTTTTTTTCCTTTTAATTAAACATTTAATTTTATCTTTTTAACAACGTTAGCTCTTATAACTTTGTTCTATTGATATTTTTAGTCTCTAATTAAGGATTAATGATGTTAATAGAGGAAAAATAAAGATTTAGTTAAGAACAAAAAACACATAGGTACCAAATTGAAAATTGAAAAAAAGTATAGGTACTTCCAATATAGTTTTCCTAAAATATTATTACAAAGTGAAGAAATAAAGCCTAAGATGCCGAAAAAATTTCATCAATTCCTCCCATAAGACTCTGATCAAAGTTTCTTCCTTCTGATATATTTTCTGGTCCTACTCCTCATCAACTTGGGCACGTTGTTTCGATGGGATATGGACGCACCGTTTGGATGCACCAAAAATTGATTTTAGGACACTGAGCGCACCTTAACCTGTCAAAATAATACACATCAGACGCCTGCGTATCTGCAACGTAGGATTTTTTTGGTCAACCTTTGGCTGAGTCGGCAAAGTAATGGCCAAACTTAACTTTTCTGTTAACCTGGGATATGGATACACTGTTTTAATTAGTTTGAAGCATTGAATGCACCAAAAATTATTTTAGAATATTGGGTGCACCTGAAAAAATAGTTTAGAGTGTTGGGTGCACTTTAACCCATATAAAATTATAAAATATTGTAATTTTTATTTTAATAGACGCGTGATCTAGTCTAATACACATGTGACTCCTACTCACAAACTCATTTACAAGACAAAATATAATATAACTGGACTATTTTGTTAAAAAAAAAAACCTTAAATCCATCTCATTGATCATTGTTAGTATTGGAGTAAATTTTTTTAATTATGAAATCAAATTTGAATATTCCTATATTTAATTGAAAGTAACTCTCTCAGTGTAAATTTTTTAATGGACAGGATTTAAACATTCAATCTTGTTTTAAAGAAAATTGAGTTTCATTTACATGATCTAGTAGATTATTGATGATGGGAGTTTTATCCTTTTAAATTGAACCAAGGTAGGTAATTAATCCTCGGAGGCCTCTTTGGTTTTCAGGCAAGCAAAAAAAAAACAAAAGTGGCAGGCATATGGGTGATTTTGACATGGCTTAGGACTCATTTGTAATGGTGATGAGATCTTTCGGAAAAACAGTATAATCATAATTTATAAAATATGAGGTAAGTATGCAAGAAAAATTTTATCTCAATTTAACTGAAAGTACTTATAAATACTTATTACAAATAGGCCCAAACAAATCCTTAATAAGTGTACTAATCGTTAATCATATGAGTAATACTGCAGCAGTAGTTGTTAATCATATGGGCTCATGCTTTCAATTTTTATGCAATGCATTTTTTTCTATATATGAAATGAAAGAAAGGTTGCAAACAGTTGTTGAAGAGTTGTACAAGTTGAATATGAGTTGTGCTGCTTACTATTATAAATATAGGAACTAGTTATCTAATTTAATTATATTAAAAAGGTTTATTAAATTATTTATTTATAATAAATATGTGTTATTTTTTATACAATACTTTTACTAATAATATGTATTAATGAGAATTATCATTTGATGAAAATTTTAATATATGTAAGTATTACAATTACAAGAATTATTTTAAAAAATAAAGATGAGAGATAAAAAGAATTAAAATCTTATACTTTATTGAATCTATTTTTAACAATGAGATATGTTTATTTTCTAATCTAAAATTTTTTGCCTAATTTTTCTATTTTAAAATAATAAATAAAATTTTTCAAATTAAAAAAATAGGAAAAAGTGAGAGGCATATCAAATATTTGAACGAGAGAAAAAAAAAGTGGGACCAACGGCAAGTGTCTCTCCAAAGCTGCTTTAACCAGCTCGCCGTTCTCTCCTCTGTTCACTACTCGCTCCTCACTCTCTCTCCCCTCCAATCTTCCCTCATTTCTCTCTCATCCCCTAGCCCAAGGTACCTACTCTGCCCTACTCTATCATCTATCACTCACTCAACATCTCTCGACTTACTCATCATCTCTCTCTCTCTCTCTCTCTCTCGCGCGCACACACTCGCATATAAATCCCTTCTCACTCTCTTCTCTTCCCTTTCTGTGTGAATGTGATTGCAGATTTCGCTTCTTCAGATTTGGCCTCACAGATGGCCTACATGTGTGCTGACAGTGGCAATCTCATGGCGATTGCTCAACAAGTCATCAAGCAAAAGGAGCAACAAGAGCAGCAACAGCAGCAGAATCAGCATCAGAGCCATAATCACCACCACCACCATCATCATCAGCAGCAGAGTCAGCAGCAACAGCAACTTCTGGGTATTCATTCAATCGCTCTTCATCCATGGACGAACACTCCTCCTCTGGGTTTTGGCCTCGCCGGAGCTGATTTCTCCGACCCCTTTCAGGTTGGGTCTGGCCCTGACGCCTCTGAGTCCGGTTTTCAGTTTCCTCATCTGGATCCCCATCACTCTACTGGGTTTAGATTTTCTGATTTCGCTGCTGATGCTGGCGGCGGCGCGTGCGGCGCTGCCGGTGAGTTTGATTCCGACGAGTGGATGGATAGCTTGATGGGCGGTGCTGGTGGTACTGGTGACTCAACGGATAGTTCCAATCTGCCTTCTGCGTGCGACGCGTGGCAGAACAATGCCGATTTTGGTCTTTACGCCTCGAACCCCTTCGCCACCTGCCCTACCCGGCTCTCGCCTCCGTCGGACCTCAATCGGGTCATTTTCTCGTCGGAGCCTTCCACGTGGACCTCTCCCCCACCGCCATCTCCACCGACCGTAGTTAAAGAACCGGCTGCTACTACCAAATCAGCACCAGCTTTGCCGCCACCGGTGGAGCCCGCCGTGCGCCGAAACGACAGTGGCAACGGCGTTTCGTCGAGCGTCGCAGAAACCAGTGAGTCCACACATCCACTTCTGAAAGCACTTATAGACTGTGCTGGCCTGGTCGAGACCGAACCAGATCGGGTAGAAGAATCTCTGGTTCAGCTCAGCAAAACGGCGTCGCAGCACGGAGATCCTACTCAGAGAGTCGCCTTCTTCTTCTGCGAAGCTTTACGCAGCAAAATAAAACCGGAAATGGTGGAGACTCCTGGTTGTGCCACTTCAGAGGAAGAGTTAACACTCTCGTATAAAGCCTTGAACGATGCGTGTCCTTACTCGAAGTTTGCTCATCTAACAGCCAATCAAGCTATATTGGAAGCTACTGAAGGAGCCACAAAGATTCACATAGTGGATTTTGGGATTGTTCAAGGTGTTCAATGGGCGGCTCTGTTACAAGCATTCGCTACTCGATCTTCAGGGAAGCCTGCAAGCATTCGCATTTCTGGAATACCTGCCATGTCTCTGGGAACATCTCCTCGTGCTTCTTTGCTTGCCACAGGGAATCGTCTCTCTGAGTTCGCGAAGCTTCTGGATTTGAACTTCGAGTTCGAACCTATTCTGACTCCAATTCATGAGCTGAACCAATCCAGCTTCGCTACTGATCCTGATGAGGTCTTGGCTGTGAACTTCATGCTTCAATTGTATAATCTGCTGGATGAGAGTAACGTCGCGGTGGAGACTGCACTTCGATTGGCTAAATCGTTGAACCTAGAATTGTTACTCTTGGAGAGTATGAAGCTAGCTTGAGCAGGGTTGGATTCCTGAACCGGTTCAAGACTGCGTTAAGGTACTTCACAGCCTTTTCGAGTCTTTGGAGCCAAATTTGCCGCGAGACTCGCCTGATAGGCTGCGGGTCGAGAGACTTCTACTCGGCCGTAGAATCGCTAGCGTGGTTGGATCAAGGTCGCAGGGGAATGTAAGAGAACACATGGAAGATAGAGAGCAGTGGAGGGTTTTGATGGAAAGTGCTGGTTTTGAATCTGTAAACCTCAGCCATTATGCAAATAGTCAGGCTCAGATTCTTCTATGGAATTACAACAGTCCTCTGTATACATTGGTGGAATCCGATCCGGGGTTTTTGACTCTGGCTTGGAATGAGGTCCCTCTCCTGACTGTTTCTTCTTGGCATTAAAGGGTTATTGCTTATTTGCTTCGATTGGAAATGGGTTTCCACCTGGTGCTTTTTTCTCTAGCGTGGAACAACCAATTGTCTATATGCCATTGATGATCATGCTTGGTCCCTAGTTAAGCTATACACAGATTGATGTTATTGGAACAGCAATACAAGCCCTCTTGAGGATTTATAGGAGGAAGATTAGCCATATGGTGTGCTTTCTGCAGCTTGATCTTAGTTCCACGCCTTTCTCTTCTCTTCTTTGCGATTGATTTTGCTTTTTTAGTCTTTTCATTTCATGTTCTAGTGTTCCTAGGTTTTATGACTTGACTAGACAAATTAGTGGACAAGGGAATGGAAATGAAGAAATGGGAGGAAAGAAGTTTTCTCTCCCATTGGTGTCTGTAACTCTGTAAATCTGAATTTGTTGTATGGATTTAATTTGGTCTTTAAATGTCAAAGGATGTTCATCTTTACTTTCTGACTCAGACAGGAATTGTTCTATACTGAAATTTATTTATAGTCCCTTCAAATCATTTGAAGTTTTTTGAGTAGGATCATGGTCAAGCTCTGAGTTCTGTAATATGTATCTTCCCCAGAGTTCCAAATCAATCTGCAATATCGGTTCTTTCCCTTTACTCCGATCATTACTTCCATATTCATCAAGTCCAATTGAATTGAATTCTTAATCAAAAGAGTGCCAATGTTTTTTGTGTTTGAAGTTTAACACATGATTAATACCCTTGAACTATTTAAGTCTTTGATTTGATTTGATTTGATGACATATATTATGCCGTTTTCCCTGCAAATTGTTTGGTGATGCAGAATCCTTGGTCAGATGCGCCAGAGTAGTAAACTGCTGGACAAGTTTTTTACCTTAGAGTGAGTCTGTGACTCACGTACTATTCTGTGGTGGAGGGGAAAAAGTACTTGCTTGGTCCTATCATTGATTTCCCTTTCACACAATTTGCAGAGACTTGGATTCTTCTTCATGAAAGTGTGGATTGCTTTCTGGCCAGTTGCATCCTGCCTTGTAGGCCAAGTAGTTATGGCTTGAATTCTTTATTTGATGTTTGTTAATTTTTTTAGAGCTTTTAGTTAGAAAACTAAACAATTTACGGAAAATGAAGTTAGAAACTTGACTCTATTATGAAGTGAAGTGGCAGGCTATTATTTATTGCCATGCTGTGACTGTCAAACTTAGTACTATTTTCTGGGGGGCGAAGTACACCCTTGGTTGGACCTGCCATTTCTTTCCTTCACACTATCTGCAGAAATTTTTGTTTCTTTCTTTTACTTTTTTCCATGAAAGTGTTGATTGCTTTCTTGCCAGGAGTGCTTGTCCTTCTCAGATCTATGGGCCAAATTTAATGGCTTTGTTGGCTGTCTCTTTCATACTGCAAATCAAATTCCCTTTCTTTTTTAGAACAACAGAGAGAGATAGGAAGGGGCAAGAAGAGCCAGCCCTTTTTGAGTCTCTGATACAATTGGCTAGGATTGTGACAAAGGAAGACTGTGAATGAAATTGCTGTTTCTAGTGTTCTGTGATTGTGACAACTCAAGTTGTGGAAATAGAAAGTTATCTTATTTGAACACTTTAAAATTAAAGTTGAAGTTGGAGAGATAGTGATATATAGGGAATTGAAAATATTTATGAGGTTCGCTTTTGCCTTATTAATATATATGTATTTTCTAAAATCCGTTTCTTTTTCTGTTTTATCTTAGAAGTACTTTGTAAGGTTTTAACTTGGAGTGAAGTGGAGAGAAACAGAGAAAGCGGAGTGAATCTGAATTTCCTGACACCGGAAAGTATGTTTTCCTCATTAAATCTGTCTTTCTTTACTTTACCCCTGAATTACTTTTAGGGTTTTGGAGATTTTAATACCTTTTGACATAAAATTCAAATCTGACCTTTTTTCCTCCTTAGACTTGATCTTGTTGAAGGGTGCCCATAAATCTAGGGTCTAGGCTACTAAATTTTGCTACTTAAGTTTCTATTTCTCACATCTTACTGCTAAGTCATGACTCATCAAGTACCATCCTCACCTAGAAGAATTCACTCAAAATAAATGCAAGTACTTTTAAATGCATGTTTGGAGTTTATTTTAGAGGTTCATCCAAACAGAGGTTTAGAAAACTCAATTTATTATTCTCTAAAACCATGTTTGGCTTCTCTGAAACTTGTGTTTAACAGATTGAAATTATCTTTTAAATCCCAGTTTTCCCAATCCCACTCAGTTAAACTTGAAAACTGATTTCCAAATGCAACCTTAACACAAGTTCTAGAACTTGTTGGTGCGACCCCACACAAATATTTGCTTAGAAGCAATAATTTGTTGCTTCTAGGATAACATGACTTACCAATTTCCTTTTTGTTTTTTTGCATGAGGGGTAATGAAGTCAATTCATCAAATTCTGAAATTGCAAATGGGTTCCTTTGATCTTGTCTGAAAATTTGCAAATTTGAAATACATATTTAGATTTTCAATATTTCAGGGCTATTTAACCATGTTTCGTTCTTTTAAATGTTAAATGATTTGTCTTAGAGGTTAATTTAATTGTAAAATATGTGGTGGAAAATAACATAAAATTTAGAAATATGTAGCAGATTCAGTTGGGATTTAAACTGTCTTTTGTGTGCATTCTCCCAAATGCATGTTTGACAATATGAAAACCATGGTTTCAGAAGCACTTTTTCGTAAAACGAGACAAATTCCTACATATTTACTTCGTAAACCGTAAAAGCACTTTTGAAATCATGATTTGGCTTCTATTCAAACACCCCTTGAGATTAAGGTTGGATTGTTCATTGTTATATCTGCAGGAAGAGGAAATTTCTTATTCATTAACTTTAACCCAAACCTTTCCTACAAGTTCTTTCTAAGAATCTTCCTATGGAGGAAATAATTAATTCATGTTTTCAGTTCTGGGTCTTCACATTTTATGGTAACTTTCCAACGCTTTGTCTCACACATATATTTATATTGAAGAATTCTGAGGAGAAGTCTTTTTAAATTATTTTATGTAATACAATTAATTCCAAATAGGATCTAAAATAACTTTAAGTGAAGTGTTGATTGAAAGAAAAAAACAAAAGGCAGGATTCACCTTTTTGAGACTTGTAGTAGGCCACACATATCTTTTCATTTGTATTTGCTCTTTTCAACAAAAGTTTGCTTCAAGATATCGAATATTTAAAAGTGAATTCAAGTAGCCGTTGGATAGGCTACTTCGTTAATGTGCTGGCTAATGACAAACGGCTCACTTAAAAGTGCAATTTTACCCTATTTTATTTTTCAGGTGTATCCAAACCATGATTTTTTTAGTAGTATAATTTTGTTTATAATTTTTTATTTTGTTGCAATTTCACCTCTAATTTTATTTTTAAAGTGCATCCAAATTAAAAAAAATAGAGAGTAAAATTGCATCACTAAAAAATCCAGTGCTGAATGCATTTGAGAAATAAAATCAGCGTAAAATTTTGTATTTATCTTTTTTTTTAAAAAAAAATTACCCATGAATCTGGATTAAAAATTTTTAAATAGTAATAGGTTTTAAAGTATTTAATATCCGTAATTTTGACTTATCAATATTAAGTTCAACGTGTAAATATTAATTCTCTTTGGACCTATCAGTATTACATGAAACTCGAAAGATTTAATTATATTTAATTTTCTTACCTAAAATTTATGGGTAATCTTCTCTTGTCCTGGCGTCGCATATAGATTTGAGATCTGAGATTGAGTCCAAAAAAAAAAAAATCCGAGATTGACACATAATAATATGTGTACTCTACTTTAAGCTAATTTCTCTTTCACCTTTACAAATATAGATTGAAAATAGCAAAAAAAAAAAGACCGTCAAAATAAAAAAATTATACACAGAGATCGATTTATAAAAATTGTTATCAAAACCATACTAATATTATATAAGTCCTTGTTTATATATTTTTTTATTTTGAAGTCTTTTTTTGTCATTTTCCCTATATAAATGATGTGGATTTAAAAAGAATTTTATAATTGGATTTTGGAAATTTTGAACTATTTGTCAATGGATATCAATAAACTTTAAGAGATTGTTGGAAAAAAAAAACATCTTTAAGAGATTGACCTAACACTTAACCAACATGAAACTAGTTGTGAACATAATATTATATTATTATGAGTCATATCCATTAACTCCTAATTTTTTTGGGTTTATTTATTTATTTAGGTCTGTTGTTTTGCCATCATTTATTTTTTAGGTCTTAAATCCTATAATCTCTGTTGGAAGGAATTTCTTATGGTTAATATCTTAAACCTTCTAAGGTTATATATTGTGCCATTATATATATACATATATATTTAAATTAATTGTAACTCTGCAATTAGAATTTAGTAACTGAAGCCTATATTACCCCTAAGTTATAAACGGGAAACACTTTGCTTTTTCTCCCAGTTCTTTTGGTCTTGCTATTCTCTTTTATTTCCTCTTTTTCAGTAACTTTTCTTTTAACTTTTTAGATTCTCATATTGGAGACACTATTAAAGATAGTCTATTAATTTCACCCAAAAAATAATTTATTTAAAATGAGATGTTGCACAACTTTACCTCATAAGCAAAGATGTTCACTAAAACAAGCTCCTTTATGCTTTGTCCTTGTAGGGTAATGAATAGCATTTTTTTTATTTGTAAGTGCATTTAAGTTGTTTTATATAATAATGTATTACTGAATTTTAAATGCTATATCATTTTCTTGCTATGCTATATATTATTTAATCTGTTTGGTATCCACATCAAATAGAAAATAGCAAATAAAACCTACCAATATGTGAAATTACGATTTGGGACCCTCAATTTGAAAAATAACCAATAGAGACCCGATATTATATTGTAAATATGAAATCTTGGTAAAATGTATGAAATGCCCCTCAGCTAAGTTGTGATTTGGATCTACTGAAGTTACCATTTTTTAAAATGAATTTGTTATTTTTCATAGTCAACTTGTTATTCGGCATACCCTCAGCTAAGTTGTGATTTGGTCTACTGAAATTATTATTTATTAAAGTGAACTTGTCATTTCCCATAGTCAACTTGTCACTTAACTAAAGGGCATTTCAGATATTTCACCAAGATTTCGTATTTGCAATGTGGGACTAGGTCTTTATTTGCCATTTTCTAAATTGAGTCCTAAATTAGAATTTCACATATTGGTGGGTCTTTTTTTGCCACTTTCTCTCAAATAAATCCTTACTTTATTATACAAAAAGATCGAGACACGTCACAGTTATTATCTTTGTTATCATCATTAAATAATGGTAACTATCTTATTATTTTTTTATGAAAATAACTATCTTATTATTATTTGTACTTTAAAGACACGGATATTTTTATTTATAAAATTATTTTTCCATTTTCTTCTATGTCATTCTATTGTACCGTTTGAATGAATTTTTTTCCCCTGAAGGATAGGTATCTTCCTATTAGAGGTAATCCTATTTGAGACACTGTCGGGTACTAAATGTGGATACCTCTCCCAGTGGGAATTCGAACCTTAGTTTGTCATGTTATGAAAGACTAGCCTTTTTTACTAGACCTAACCCCTGGTCGTTTAAATGAGTTCTTATGCTATAAATTTCCAAATCTTGACCCTTCTACTTCAGATGGTTTATAAATGTGAAGTTCTACCCATTGCTCGGGTTGCATAGACCTCACATTGGCATCCCTTATTTTTCAGAAATAAAACTATCATTGTAATTTAAAAGAGAAAATTACCGAAAAAAGCCTTATATTTTATCTGAGTATAATATATTTTCAGTTACGCATAAATGTCTTTCATTCTGTACACGGTTGAAGACGCACACAACTAAAGTAATAGGTGTATTGAAAATATCACTTCCTGTTCTAATTATAAGATCTCATTTATAATCTACAAATAAGATCTTATAATTAGAACCAGAGATAGTAAGTTATACCCAGGTCTTTAAATAAATTTTAGGTACTTTGGGTAATGAATTGGGAAAATCTAAAAAAAATAATTATTGAATTTTAAAATTCCAAATCAGGAATTACTACAAAAATATACTATTTGTTTTTTAAATGTAGTCATTTTCTTTACGAGTGTAGTAATCAATACTGATTTGAAATTTTGAAATTCAACAGTTATTTTTTTTGAAAGTTTTTCTAATAAATTTTGCTGTAAGAATTTTTCAGCAATTTTTCCTAAAAAACTATTGACACCATTACTTCCCCTATAGAATTCATGCTTTCCCATGTGGATAGATTTTGGACGTGATGAACGAAAAGCTGTACTCTCAGCCGTGATAATCTTATTTTGATTTCTTTTCGCTGTATATTAAAAAAAAAAGATAATCGTATTTTGACAATAAATTACAACGAATAAGCAGTTAAATAAATAAAATTGACATATAGAGAGCTCAATATCAATATTACATAATACATCTCTGGCCAAAAAAGGATATCATATAATACATCTTGAACTTTGGTTGGAACCAAAAAAAAAAAAACTCATTTTTCTTAACCACTGCTTCATTAAAAACATTTACTAAGATGCATTGTATTGAAAACCGGACCGGACCGGCTGGTTCAGACTGGAAACCGATCCCGTTAAGCTGTGAATCGGGTTACTGTGTGACTCGATGTGACCCGGTTTGAACTGGGGTGACCTAGACTGAACCGGGGTGACCCGCTCAGTTTGGTGGATCAACCCGGTCTCCTCTTTTTTTTTTTAAAAAAAAATTTTTGATGATTTTTTTTAAAAAGTTGTTAATAATTAGGACTTAATGATTGGAGTAATTATAAGGAGAAATATTTTATTATCATATATCCATTTTGATATTTTGTTGGGATGAATATTTAGTGATTTTAGTAGTATGATATTATAAGAAATGTAAGAATGTAATTATTTACTAGTAATTCAAGATATTAATTGATATCTAATTCTTAGTGACCATTTAAATTTTTTTTATTTTTTTATTTCTCACCGGTTTGACCTTCGATTTGACTCCGGTCTGACCCACTGACCCTTGACCCATTGCCTTGACCGGTTCAATTGCCGGTCCGGTTTTCAGTACTTTGCTAAGATGGTCCTCAAAATTATCAGTGTCTCTAACTAAAACAAGCAAAAATCAACCGAACATATAAGTTAACTCAAAAAAAATTATTTATTATAATGTGAGTATTTATTTATTAGGTTAAGGTGCAAATTTATTTTGAAGGCTTTCACTCAAGAGCGCTGAGCACCCAACCGAAATCCCATTTTCACAAGCACTTGTCGAGGACAACAATGCTCACTATCACTAAGCTGCTTCAAAACACTGAGAAGATGGATACAGGAAGTACATTACAATTTAAGACCAACAATAATGTCTATTGATTTGGGTGGTCCCTCCCATACATAACAGACAATGAAAGAGCAATCCAACTCAATAAGTATATTATCTGCTATGTTTCTGAAATTATGCATATTACTACTCAGTACTCACAGAGATATGATTTCAAACATCACAGGTTTAACAGTACCATGATCAGATATCCTATCAGAGCATAAAAAGCATGGATCCCCTTCACATTACTGGAGAAGCCACTAAACTGAGATAGAGATAGTGATGCAACGCACATAACATGTAGGTCCCACAGCTCTCTATCCCTCTCTCTCTCTCTCTATAATTTCATTGAATTTCCTAGTCATGTATTCATAAGAGGTCAAAATGACAGACCTTAGAGGCATTTGGCTTCAATCTCTTCCAGGGTAAGCCCCTTGGTTTCTGGCACAACAAAGAAAATGAATACAAGTGATACCACAGCTATTCCACCAAATATGTAGAACAAAACTCCTGCTCCCACCAATGCCTGTGATAAGAAAAAGATAGTCAGACAAAAAACCATCTCAAATTATCATAATGGGCTAAGAAGCATTGGTACAATCATGGGACCTGACACAATATGGGCACTGTAAATCAAGATGTCTAAATGTAGTTTGAAATGTCATGCCGTATAAGACACGACTTGGAGTTGACACAACTTTGCTCATGCGGTATAAGACACGACTTGGAGTTGACACAACTTTGCTCATGTGGTATAAGACACGACTTGGACTTGACACAACTTTGCTTTTGAAGTCTCTATGCTTTTCCTAATTAAGCCAACAACATACATGGCCCTGGCCATATGTTTTAAGATTGAGATGAACAAAATGTTTTGGATTAAATTAGTCTCTGCTCTTTCCCTAATATAACCCATAGAAAAAGGAAAAATTATGGTATTTTTTCTCAACGTTGGTCAAACCATGAGCGTTGGCACGAAGCAAAAAGCCCAGATGAGACGGTGAAACGGAAATGCTTCATTTATGTTTTCTTTACAAAGAGTATAAAATAAGTTGGTTAACAAAACACAAACACACATACAGAACAGGATTTCCGGATAACTTCCAAAAGTCAAAAGATTGAGTGGGGGGGAAAAAAAAAAAAACCACACAGATTGTGACAAGGAAATGTACACTGTCCAGTGTGTCCGAGTGAATTTCAGTAGACATAGATCAGTTTGGCAACTGCTTAGTGATTTGTGTGACTGGTAAATGACATCATGAAATATACATATTTTTTAAAATCAATAACACCAAAATACATTTTTCTGAGTTACGTTTTTCTAATAAATGTTAAGAATTTATGTTAAATTTTAAAATAAAGGACATGCGTGCAAGCAAACTACTGATGAAGAATCTAAACTCCTATCCCTCAAGAGGAGAGCCAAAATTTGCCGATAGAAGAGAAGAGATAATAAGCAAGAGAGTGCAAGAATTAAAAAAGCAAGAGATGAAAGAACTTTTAGTAAATCCTCATACACAATACCAAACAAACAAGCGAGAACAATGTGATTACAGTTAACATTCAAACGCACAAGGTTGATATTTTAAGATTAGATTTTTGTGAGAGAATCTGCTATCATCTGACTGAACACGACACACTTAAAAAAAAGGTCTCCATAACCATGTTTAAAAAAGTAAAGGGATTAAGATCTTAATTACCTTCAGTGGGGAGAAAGCAAATGTCACTAAGGCATTAGCACCAAAATTAACGAGTACTGCTAAACTTAGTCCTCGTCCTCTTAGTCGCAAGGGGAAAACCTCTGATATCATGAGCCATCCAATTGGACCAAAGGAGACCTGCAAAAATAAACAAGGAATCACCTTGAGCAATCTTATGCAAGCACTACAAAATAATTTTCTTGTACCAGTGTGTTATGACCAGAAACAGAAAAGAGAAGACAGAGAAAAGCGTGGAGAATAAAGCAACTCTTATTACAACCAAGCTCGTCTAACAACTTGTAGTAAACAACCCTTGCCTAACATCGGAAAGCAGATGTGCAGAGTAAACAAATAACGTATGAATCATGGTGATACTGGACTCTCACCATCAGAGTACTGTTGATCACAAGGACAAGAACTAGGGTACTTTAAAATAAATTCAAGCAAGACTTCCCAAGAACCATACTTGTCAGGTAAGTCACACCATCAAACCAGTTACTATGCAACCTCCCTGATTCTTGTTTAAGATTCTCTCTGCAAAATTTCTTCCATGGAACTAGTTCTTTGGGAGGATCTGGCCAATATATGCAGAATGATGCCAAGTGTCTGGAAGGTACTATGAATTCAGGGCATCATCTTGGTTAAGCAACATGAATAAAGAAATACAGGAGCCAAATGAAGAACTTGAGCATCGCCACAACATCAGCTCACAAGATCCAACACAGCAGCCCTATCACACTCGGAATACAAATACATAACAACAAACACAGAACACCACAACACCACAAAGTCCATGGATATATCTTCGCAATAAAATAATGAATCACACAAAAACATCACAAATGACCTGTTAAAGACATGGATCACAATTTCAAGAAACTAAGAAATAAGATGATCAACAACAACGAGAAAAACATCAATGAGTCATTTGTGACAGCAAAGTACCTGTTAAATTTAAAGGAAAGTTTTGATAAGACTGGCAGTGCTCAATGGTAGTGAATGTTAGGCTTCAAGGGCCAACAAGAACAAAAAATTGGGTGGCAGAGTTGTTGATGTTAAGATAGATGCTTAGTCATAAAAGAAAAGACTCGATTCATAATGATAAGATGAACATAAGGACTTAAATACTTACTGGACAAACAGATACTACCAGACAGAGAAGAAGTGGTTTGAGAAACATTAAATACTCATCTATCCAAGCGACATATGGTTGACATTTATTCCTTAACTTGAGGAGTGCGGAATCATTAAACTAGTTTGTAGTGAATCTTGGAATCATTTGGAGCATTTACTCCTTTTTTCTATCTAATCAACTGGAGGCTTTATTAGTTCTAATTATAATTTATTAAGAGCAGATTGCATTTGTCTTTTTTCCTTTTCATTTACTGCATCAGCTTGAGGAACCTTAACTCCTTTGATTCAGTTCAATGCATGTATGCAGCTGTCACTGGTGTTACATTATTAAGAGCAGTAATATTTAACATTTCAAAATGTTTGACGTAAAGACCTTATCCTATTCCATGAGTGCTTAATAGCAGGGTGCATCACTGGAACAAATCCATCTATATGTCCCAAGCATATTGATGGAAGCCACGTTGAAAGTTTCAAATTACTTGAACAAGCTCACACAGAACTCTTGTCTCTGGTATTTGAGGGACGAGACCTTCCACACACAAACTCATTTATTGCCTACCTTTCACTAACGTCCCCCCATCCCCTACAATATTTTCCTCAGTGCATTCCTCACTAACTTATAGTGGAACTTGATTTCATGAGCACCAACTATTCCTCGATGAGAAACAATGATCTACATCACATGCCATGCAGCAACCAAAACTTGAGTAGCCAAATACTTGCAAGAACTTTCCAGGACTTGATTCTGTTTTGCTAACTCTTCCTTAACGTCATCAAGGTCCAAAAGTCATAGCACGTGAATATCAAAGATAACCATAATACCCCTTGAATTACATTACACTACTGTTGAACCTTGCTGATTTCTGAAATTGTGAGAGCGTTGCAGCAACCTCTTTGCCACTCATAAGAAATTGAATAGAAGCCAGACTTAAACCTGGACCGTAACCAATCAAGTAGGAAGTGTTACTCATAGTATCATGCATTTTGCAAGGTGCTGCCAAGCATTGTTTTGATTCTGGATGCCCTCTTTTCTCAATAACAATTTTGTAAGTTGAGCACTTACAAGTTACAACAGCAACTTCTTCATAGCTCTTAAAATTCCAGGAGCTGTGCCAATTCCCAAGCCACTCCAACAGTGAGAGATGCTTCTATTCCCATATTTCCACTAAGAATCTGAATTCTTTGCTTTTCCTCGTCACCACTCTTCTTCAATAGTTTCCCATCTCCAACTTCACCTTCAAACATTTAAAGCAATTAAAGAAGATTTCTTTTCTGGTTTCTACATCTATCAAAGTCCAAAACATCCCCTCAAGGCTGAACCACCCTCACCTCCTTGCTTCTTGTCTCACCAGAACTACTTCATTTGACATTTTATATTAAGCTAGGTCCCATCCTTAAATTATATACCAGCATCCCAAAGATATAACTCATTATATTTTATCAAACGAAAACATTATATATCTAAATCTTTGAATACATAAAAAGCATATACACAAAAACTGAATACTTTCCTTTGTCACTGCAGGCAGCTCATATTACAAGGGCCGTTCAGCATCAAAATGATTATATAAGGAAAATTATGACATTTCCCTGGCGATTCAGGAGCTACCAAAAACAGCATCTTTACCAGTCTTTTCAGGTCATTGATTTCAACAAGCATTCATAAATCTTGACAGATCCAGTCCATATCTTCTCTTTGACTTATGACAACAAACATCGAGCTAATTGAAAATACAGCCTAAACATTTACAAGCACAAAATCCTGGAGTGAAAAATCAAACAAAAGATCAAAAGAAAACATGTTCACCTGATAAGCGCTGACGTACAACAGCAGACCAACTACAGCAACAGCTGATGCGTCATTCAAGAACGTGTAATATGAACCCAGAAGGAATAAAGAGACAATCTGCAATGCATATGGTTCTTCAATTTTAAAGACTGATGCTTGAATTCCTTGTTTATTTATTCATTTTTATTTTTTATATCAAATAATTTTCATGTCAATCATGTAAACATGACTGATAAGTGAATTGGTTAATCAATTTGATATGAAAATAAAAGGATAGCCTCCAAGTAAACTGCCACTAAGAACAACCAACATTTAGAAAAGGGTAGTAACCTACTATTCCCGTAACTCCTACAAATAGTAGAGGTCTCCTTCCAACTCTATCAACAACGACAACAGCAACTCCTGTCATAATCAACTACAACAGAGAAAGATAAAGAAGTTGCTGTCAAAAAGAATCTGCGAACTTGATAGGAAAGTATTCTCATAGACTTGGCAAGAGGAAAAATAATAGAAAAAGAAAAAAAAGTTTTTTGGAGGGTTTGTGGTGGAACAACAAATAATGTGAAGACATTTTTGGATCACTCTTTTACTTTGCTTTTTCTCTTGACGAGAATGTGACTGATATGTTGCATAGATGGATTGTGGATTTAACTTGAGTTTTCATACAAAAAATCTTATACTTATGTCTAGATATATTGGATCATGCTCGCATAATCTCCTTTAAAGTGATAGCTCAAGTTAAGAAACTTAAATGGATACTTAGAGAAAAGCAACATGGAAAAAAACAGTCCAATGAGCTTTTGGGTAATGCTCAGTTATATTTAATGCTTTTAAGGTAAGCTTCCAGGCTTCCTGCCCCTTCTATAGAACACAGTTTTGATTGGCAGTTTTCAACCTTTCCCCAGCGACAATGCTATTTTCCAGGTTCAATTGTCAATTTTTATAGCTACCTTCCACTTAACTTTAGCATGCACCCTACTGGTTTAACAACGGTATTTTCTCTGTTACTACAGATGCTGTTGTTAAAGCAGTCGCTAGTGAACCTCACTTAAGCCTATCTGTGGTCCTCCTCTCCACAAGGTCAATGAGTTCTCGACTTAAGCATCTTATCATATTTCTAGTAACAAGTGTCTTTTCACTAATCTTAATATTATTGTTCACTTCCTTGCTGCCGTTACCTTGGCTAGTGGATCACAAAAAAATGCCAAAGGCATTGATTGGCCTATATCATCCCATTCACTCTATGCCTGTAGGTGCTGAACTTTATGTTCCTGAATGACTGTTTAAATCGATACATCTTAGGAAATTGACGCACACATTTCATTATTTCATTACATTTTCCTTTTCTTTCTATATTTTCTACATAATCAAACACTTCACATCAGAATTTAGTAGAACTTTTATCTGCATCCCCAAAACACCAATAAATGTCAAATTATGTAGCAGCGTTTAATTTAAATTTACATATTGTGAAAACATATAGTCTACCTTCAATACACCAAGGAGAATTGACACACGAGTTGCATCTGATGCTGCAGAGAATCCTGCACTCTATCGAAATATAGGATTTCAGTGTTGTTATATTTCATTAGCACCTCATATTTTACCACTGGGACCGAAGTTTCCTAAACCAAAATTAGCAAATCACCTTGAGGATTGTTGCAGCATAGTACAGCACACTTGGTTGTCCTGTGATCTGTCACAAGTTACATTGTAAAAATACACATCTATTGGCAGCACCTGATAATTTGCATGGTTTGACTTCACAAATTACAATACCTGTTGAAACAAGACCAATCCCACACCAATTGTAAGGGCTTTCAAATATTTTCCTCGGAACATTTCTCCAATAGTAACTTCTTTTTCTTCACCGAGACAAGAAAGCTCTGCCAGAATCTCATCCACTTGCTGAAGAGCTGAATCACCAATAGCTGGACCCCGAAGTTGACACAAACAAGAAATTGCAGTATCTTTCAAACTCTGGGCATTCCCTTTTCCCTGTATACAACGTAAGAGGATCCATCTAGGAGATGATGGAAGACACCACATTCCAATTCCCATAATTATTGCCAAAGGACTACTAATTCCAAACATATAGCGCCACCCTGCAACAGTGTCAACCAAAAGGCTACCTACTCCATACCCCGCCTGCACAAGGTAATATGAAGCCAAGTTTATTGCAGGAATGCTCAGAACAGAAAATAAAATAAAATAAAACAAAATAATTTTTTTTTACTTGGGAGCCATAATACAGCACAATGACAACAACAATATAACTATATAAGGCAAAATTTGAGAAGCTTGTTATCTTCATTTCATTTATAGATCCAGTGAGTTCAAGGGGGAAATGTAAGAACTTACAACCATCCCAAGTACTATGAAAAACTCTTTCAGTGAGATTAATCGACCACGTATTGGAGTTGGAGCTGTCTCTGCAATGTACATAGGAGCCGCATGCATCGCCTAAAATAGATAAATTGGACACCATTGATATTGCTTGAACTTTAGCAAGACACTATAAAATTGAATTAATAAGATTTTATCCACAAATTCTCTAAAATTACTTTATAATGCAGTGAAATCATTCTTCCATTTTTTTTTTTTTTGGGTGCATGTCTACAGCAACGCAGCAATGTCAATAGTTCTGAAATCCATAGAATTCATTTTTTATTTAAAATAAGGAAAAATGCAAATAACAACGACAATAGTGGAACAAATATACTGATGACATGAAGTAATCAGAGAGTTGGGGTGACATCATATTATGTGATACCTCCAACATGCATAAGTTGGTAATGCATGCACAGCTGCATAGTTTACATAGATAGAATTACATAGGAAAAGGTGACAATGCATGCACATCAATTCATGGGCAAAACGAATAACTGTAAATCTCAAATGCAATCCTCCAGCATGCAAGAGACACACAGAAACCCTCACATCCAAATTTGTTAAGTGGTTTCCTACCTCATCTAAACAAACTAACAAATATGAGCCAACATGCATCATGTCTATTTAAAAAAAAAGCATACCAGTCCAATTCCTAGACCATATACAAATCTTCCAATCACCAAAACAGCAAAGTCAGGAGCAAATGCTTCTATAAGAGCTCCAACAAAATACAGCAACGCAGCCACAATCAACTCCCTTCTTCTTCCTTAAATAATACCAGTCGTTTAACCTTTGTCAAGAGATGAAAATATCCAAAACAATAGTTGACAAGTGGCAAAATTTACCTAAGAAGTCAGCAACATTGAAGGCCAACACGGAGCCAATCAGCGCACCATATAATGATCCACTAGTCTGAAAAAGCACCATAGAATGATTTAAAATGAAACAAAAGTGTATTTTCTAGATCATTGTGTAAAAACAATATATGAACATAATAAAGGATGGAAAGAATTAATGAAATTACTATAAGCAAAGAAAGGAAGTCTTCTGAATCTAATATAAACTCACCACAAGACCAATTTCAACTGAAGACAAATCATACCATGATACTCCACTTAGTGTAGCGGACTGCAAAAAAGAGAAATTATAACTATGCCAAGCAAAGAACTGAAATATAAGCTGCATTAACCAGCTTCCCAAGAAAATTTCAAGAGCAACAGTAAGTTCAACCAAAAAGAAAGAGTTAATAAAATGCTGTATTTCTGCATATTAAACATCATGGTTATTAAAAGAAAGCCAGTAACATGTTAAACGAGTTTCTATCAATCAGCAAAAAGGACCAAATTGTTATTATTAAAAGAAAATAGATTTTACAGAACATTCTCCCCCTAAGACTAACTTTGTCCAAGTAACCTTTCCTGTTAATCTATCACACGCTACGATAACAATAGTAATAGTTAATCTTTTAAGGAGATAATCCAATGTTTTTCAAGAGATATTTCCGTTACAGACTATTTTACTTCTTCCTGCTAAATGAATTAGAGCACTATATGCTTAGAAACATGATGTAACAGGCCTAATTGAACTCTACTGTCTTGTTTAAGCCCAAAATGAACAATGTGTTATCACATGCCAGCATGCCACCTCATAAGATTAAATCAGAACTAAATGAAAATATAATTAAAAAAAATTATGTCTTTCTAACAATGACGCGGATGACAGAGAGAAATCAAATTATTAAACCAAGAAATACTCATTATCCTTTTTAGCATGTTTTCTAAAATTCTTTTTTTTAAGAAAAATTTGACAGCATTATGATTGATTAAAAGTAAAACCCCTTATATGCACGTATCATCTTTTTCTCACATGCCTAAATGAAGTTCATGTGAAGCCAAAGAAACCAAATAAACATTACTAAAATTTGATTCCAATATTACTTATTTTGATTTATGATGATACTTTGATGATAATTATAGCAATTAAAAAGAATAAACAAGAGCATTAAACATATACGAGAATTATTAATTCAAGACTTGGTTCATCTCTGAAATTGTATCACAAGATCATAAGGGCGTACCTCAATGACAATTGTAGCACAAGATGTGGCACCGATGTCATAGCCATATAGTAGCCCTCCCAAAGCTGGAAAGAGAAATCTGAGAATTTCAAAACTATGTTAGGTATCACTGTAGAAATCAAACATCTGCTATCAGCAACTGAATAGGGGCACTATATATATTTCATGTTAAGGAATAGATACAAAATGATGAGATAAATTCAGTCAACCCAGTAGCATGGATGCATGCTAAATTGAGCATTTAGATATTAAGTAGTGACTTATGTTTTGGGGAGAAAATATTTAGTAGTGTCAGTGTACAAGCTCAAGGCACCATTTGTTATATTGATTTTTAATATCCCTTGAAAAACTAACTTGGGAATTTATGGGTTCTATTTTTAGTTCAATACGCCAAAAAGAAAGCTAAGAACCTTGAATTCCCTTGGGAATCAAGTTTCTACAAAGCTAAGGAGATAAACTCTCATTAATAACCATGGAACAAAATTTATTCTCATGACAGCTTTGGATTATATGAGTGTCAAGTTTAATGTCAGAATACTTGCCATCACCTCCACCTCATTTATGAAAGTTCCTTTGAGGAAAAAAAAGCAAAATATTAAAATTTCATAGAAATCCTAAGTAACAAACTGAACATGGGAACTTCATTATCTGGATATATGGCTGAAATTGTTCAGAAGAGGGGATTCCGAGAAGAGACAATCAAGACCCAACAAGGAAAAAAAAAGAAGGAAAAGAAAAGATAGGACAGTGCAACGGGCTCCAGCCACCCTCAACTCTTGGTGACTAACACATTTTCGACCTTGGAAACACTAAAAGCATAAAATAGAAGCAGACTTTTTTCTCACACAAGGAAAGAAAAATTTTTCAGCCCAACTAATCCCTTAACTTTTTTATTGGATAATAATATTTTATTAGTTAGAAAAGAAGAAAAGAAGAAAAACACAAGTAAGGAGGATAAGATATAATCCCGAACTCTAATTAAACATAAACATTGGACTCATGCGGCTCAAAAGTGCAAAATCTAACCTCTCTGCATAATAGACCAGGAGTTCTTTGCAAACAATGTGCAGAATGTCATTTCTAAGTATAACTCTATATTTGCTTATCTATATCATGTAATAATATTAAATTGAGCAGAAGGGACTAATAAACAATACTTACGGGACAATTACAGCATAGACGGAATAATTTTCAGAGTGATGAACCCCATTAAGAAGAGGCTCTCTTGAGCTCCCAATCTCACCAGATGTCTTTCTTTCCTAATGAAAAGTCAGTGAATTTCAAATGTTATAAGCAGTGAAATAAATAAAATGAGTATGGTCTATAGGAAAATAGCTTGTAGGCATATATGCACCACTATGTACATGAACATGCATCTGATTGTAGGCATTCAGCTCTTCTTTTCAACATATATGATCCCATCAGTGCAAAATGAGAGGAGGAAAATAGTGCTGCCTCCATTCCTAAATATAAGATCTAGATGTACTATCTATTATCTTGGTTTATGATATGATTATCATTTGGGATTTAGGGTTTGTAATTGGATGGATTAGTTTAAAGTTTAGTGTTAAATTTTCAGTTCGGTCAAAAAAGAAATTAGAAATTAGGGATTATCAAAGTGGTGTTTGAGCCCAAGACATGTTATCCCAGAGTAGCATCTTCTTGCATTTGCACTTGAGTCGTGGTAAGATGAACAATGCTTAAAAAAAGGCTTAGAAGATCAGACCTCTTCAGATGATATTTTATTGTAGAAATCATTTAGTTGTTGTGAGTTTAAGATATTTTGCTTCTGTTTCTTTCCCTCGTGTTTTTTTTCAATCACATATACAAAAAAAACGAGCTTAACATTAGTAAATTGACTTTACCAGACAACTTTTAGTCCAGAGATCTGCAACAATGACATGTCAATAAATTCAGTTCTCTTATTACTGTTAGCACACAAACTCCCTCAACATGCAAAGAAAACCAAAACGAAGTGGATATGGATGAACCGATCGCAAACCATTTGCAGTTTTAACTTCCAACGAAACAAACACGCAGAATCATGGGAAGCGAGGGGAACAATACACCAGTTACTCGAGCATCAACGTGAGAAGAAAACTGCCGAAATATTTTTTTTCCAGCGAGAAGGAAATTGCTTTCATTGAACCCAGTAATTGTTTCGTGTTCTTCTGTTCTCAGTAACTTTCTCGGAGACTAAAGGAAGTGATTCTCTCAAGTATCCACCTACTACAGCGAAAAGGAGGTAAACCGTAGACTTTGGAAGAGAGAAAACCATACCGTAGGTTGATCAAGATCGGACGCCATTGCTTGGAAGCGAAGACTGAGCCAGAATTGTTGAGGAAGAACAAGCAAAGCGAATTGTAAGTGGAAGAATTACATATATATATATATATATAAACGGACGTCCAATTATCCAATCCCCATTGAAGTCAATATTCTCACTTTTAAAAGAATTGCTAAGATTTCAATAAGGATCTGTTAAAATATCAAATTGGTGAAATCAGTTCAGAGTGAGAGTGAAAGAGATAACAAAACACTATTTTTCTTTTAAAAAAATATATGCAAACTAGAGGATCTTCTAAATAAAGAGAAGATTCAAACACGGAAAAGGGAAATAAGTGAAACAGTAATCAAGGAGAGAGTAAAAGATAAGGGTGTGGGAGAGCGCCACGATTCGTAGTTGAATTGCGAGCAAATGGTGTCTTCCAGAGACAAAGACGTTTAATTCAAACTCGAGTTGAAAACGACGCTTAGCAAACGGCAAAATGAGTCCTTCAGTACCCAACAAGTCCTGAAAAACAAAACAAGAACACATTTTTGCAATGTGAAGTAGGTAAAAATACACTCCACCAATAGTAAATGAAAGAACTAATTAGAAAATTATTTTTTTTAATTCTGAATATAAGATTTTAATATGTTATATCACTTATATTTATCAATTTTTTAAAAAATTAATTTGTCTAACTTATAAGGAATATTCTAAAAATTTTGTATCAATTTTATTAAAATTAAGTAATTTATTTATTTTTATTAATATTTTAAAATTAATTAACTATTTTTTATATTACGGACTAAATAAATATTTTTTAAAAAATAAAACTTATCCCATTCATATTTAAAGGTATTTTTTAGAAAACTGTAATTTTTCACATACCAAGCGTCGTATTCGTCTTTCTTCTTGAGCAAGTAAATGAGTTCATACTAATTGGAGGGGAATTGAAGCAGGTTGACATATTATTCATATAAATTTTTTTTAAAAAAAAGATGTTTTCTTTCCTTTTTCCTTACATAAGTATGCTGAGTATGGAAAAAAATTGAAATGATAAATAATAAAAGTTGCAGTGCCCAATGAGATAGGTGTAAAAAAATTAATAAAGCTACCCCAAAAAAAAAACCCTGCACAAAAAGATCTAGGACTTATTTATCAACATGTTCTTTATAAGGGATTTCAACTACTAATATATAAAAATAAACAAAAGAAAAAGACAAAATCCACTAGTGGTATGTTAGTTCTAGCTTAGTTTGGTATAATGCATCCATGTGCCAACCCCCATCCCTCAAGGGTCTTACCTCTCTTTGTCAAATTTTTGGGGAAGAAGGCGGAACACAATTTGGAAAGAAAATGACTAATTTGGCCCTTATTGCATCATGGTGTTTTCTAATTGAATGGAATTATCAAGATATATTTAATACATATAGTAAGCAAAGTATAATATTGCATTTTAATATAAGAGCTAATAGATGAGTTAAATTTGATCCTAATTATAAGAATTCATTCCATTTTGCTCTCCTTATTTATTCAAACTAAATCTATTGATTACATATATTAAGGGTGTTTGCATCAAAAGTTAGTTTCAATTCAAATGATTTAAGAGGGTGTTTTAGGAAAACCAACGTATATTCTTGACAAATAACTAATTCAACTACTTTTTTTAATCATCTTATATTAAGGACAGGAAGTAGTAATTTTTTTCATAATCCACACACCCATCAAGGGTTCAAACCTGCAATCTCACACTCAAAAAAGTTTTAAAGGAGGTGTTTAATATTAATTAGGCTACAAAATCCTGATAAGCAAAGTATTATGATTTGTTTGTTATGCAAATTTTTTGACATATCTATGGTTATTATAACGGCAAGGGGTTGGTAGTCAAAATCTAAAAATTAAGTGGTTGGCTTTGTCCTATTTTTTTTTTTGGTAACGTTCCTATTATCATGCTGTCCTGATTAGTTTTTGTTTTTTTTTTTTTGCCCAGATTGCTTTGTTAAAAACCGTATTGATAGTTCTAGAAGTGAAAAGAAAAAGTGCAAGTTTGGATTAAATTTTAAAGGTGTTTTTTGGTTAAAAACTACAAATTCCTTCTGATTACAAAAGTCACCTCAGCTTCCGTGCCAAATATGAAAGTCTAAATGCAAATGTTGTATCTAAACATGTTGCAGGCAGTGCAATCTCTGTGTTTAGTATAAGATTAATTTAGAAAAATTAAAAAATTACTTAATCATAACATATGTTACATAATTTTTCTGAACTACTTCTATATATATCATTGGATTATGCTACCTCTGATCCTAAATAATATAAGACTTAGTTTGTGAAGAAAAACGATAAATATAAATACTTTAAAATAATTTTTTTTACTTTTCTTAATCTCTCATATTAAATAACTAGGTCTTATATTAAAGACAAAAAATATTTTTTCTAGTCCTTAATATAAAATTTATTTAACTAATTTGATTAGATTAAAAAGTTAGGTAAGTTAGTTAATTATAAGAAAAATGATATGTTTTTTTTAAAACACCATAATCATCCTTCTTAATATCTTCCCTCCCTCTTCTACTTGATTATGGTTAAGAGAAGTATCCATAGGGGTATTTAGAAAAAATTGATAAATATGAGAAATAGATTTTATATTTAGGACTAAAATCAACTCAGTAATTAGGCCTTATATTAAAGACCGGAAGAATAATATATAATAAAAATTAATGTTAGAACAAGACTTTCTAAAAATTGGTTTAGTTCTAAATATTGGTTGTGTAACTATTGGAACAGTGCTCACATCACAACTTGATATATTGAGTTTTTCATGAGCACTTGAAACGTCATTCCCCCTAGGATGGCAATGTTTTGCCGGAAGTTAAAAGGTAAACCTTTCTCGAAAGATGTTATTGACTGTTAGGTGAACAACTCGGAGGGTTAAATTTTTCCTCGCACCTATCTAAAGTCCTCTCAACAGATATAGTGCTTCATTGGTCCTTTATAAGATGAGAGTAACTTACCATTTTAATTAATAATTTATTAGCATCAATCTTGTTTGGTTTCTTTAATACCAAAGATTCCATTCTCATGATAAATATCGACACCCACTTCCCGTGCGTTTGTGTGCGCTTTCTACCTAACGCCATTGGTGTTTCTACGCTAGAATGAGATTAAGAATATTCTTTATTATTATTTTTTTTCAGATATCATTATTCTCTTGTAACTTCAAATAATATTAAAATCTGCATTACATTGTATATAAAAAAAAAATCTCCATTACACTATTTGAAAATTGCAAATAATATCACTTTACCCCGCATCATATCAAGTTACAAGATAGCCAAATTTTATATTGCTATAAAACACGACCAAAGACGGAAACTTAAAAAAGAAATGTGAACATTATTTTTATGTCACATGAAAATATCTATTTATTTTAGCTTCAATTAAGGGGTGTTTGGGTAAGATTAAAACCATAGTTTTAGAAGTGCTTTTACAGTATACAAAATAAATATATGGAGGAGTTTATCTAAATTTACGAAAAAGTACTTTTAAAAAGTTATTATTAGGATATCCAAACGCCTTTTTAGTTTTCTAGTTTAATCGTATAAGAGAGGGTGGTGGTGGGGTGAGGTCAATAATTCAAATTCTCTGATATATATATATTTTACAAAAAAGTTTTTTTTTTTTTGGGTTTATGTGACTTAATTTAGTGGCCTCTGTTTGTCTTTTTCAAAAAAAAAAAGAGTTTTGCTTCCGTGCAGAAACCGCAGGGCTGTCTAGGGATGCTCCACTACTTTTTGTTGGGAGTCACCATGTTATTTCAAGGTCACATTCCCTCTTTCCTGTCTGCCCATGAACTTGTCGACGTTGCTTTTCCTATGACCATGCACTTCAGCTACAAATTTCAAAACTTCCCTTTTTTTTTCAAATTAATAGACAATTTTATTTCAAATGATAAAACAACATAAGACGACACAAGCTTGAACCTTAACAATACAAGAACAAAACACCCATAAAAAAGGTCCAAGTCATAATAAATTCATATTACAAACCAAAAAAAGTTAAGGCCTATGCATTGTCATGTATCATTTTATCCGTTCAAAATAAAATTACCTGATAATAAAAAAAATTTAAAAGTTCCTTAAATACTCTAGAGAAGTCATATCATCTATACATTATTTAATAGTAAACAATTCAAATTGAATACGCTTATTATTTATGTGATAGCTTTATGGTAGGTAATACAATAATATTTAAGGTCCCTACATGGAAATCTTTCAGTGTCATTTTCTTATTCATTGTTTGAGTATAAAGTTGCCAATTAACGTTGCAGTATGTAGACCATGCATTTCATTTTTAAAACAAACAAAAAAATTGCATGGGCAATAGATAGTCAACAAACTTATCTTTGCTTTGGTCTCTACCTGGAAATCTTTTAATGTCATTCCCTTGACCGATGTTAGTGTATAAAGTTGTCAATCAACGTTGCAGTATGTGGATCATTCATTTCATTTTTACAACAAACAAAAAAATTGTAGGGGAAAAGACAGTCACTCCCAATTAAAAAAAAAAAAAGTAAACTATATTTTAGTCCAAGGTGAACTTGTTGGATGTCACAGGTAATAAGCTCGAATTCTTTTTAAAGATAACTGAATTTCACAAGTGGAATTTGAATACAAACCATTTATTCTCACAGGGTAAAAGGAAGAAACATCCAAGAATATCTTGCAGCTCAGTCACAGCTGAACTGCGCTCCAAGGTAAGTCTCAGGCCTTGGACTGCCATGGCTGGTACCGGGTCCAGTCTCTCTGCCCTGGATTAAGAGCATGCCCCTTGGAATGATAGATATACTGTTCACCTTCTCCAGACAAATTCTCCTTGTGTTCAAGACCGTACCTTTTAGGTTTCAGCAAAAGAAGCTGCAAAGAATCCAATTATTTATTATTTCAGGAGTAAGATTTTCAGGTTCCTGGCCATATGGCATCATCGCAGTAGGAAAGAAATGAGTTTACCTCATCTCCTGTGTGATCAGTTATGAAGTGGAGCCAACCGTGCCATTCAGGAGGAACCTGAGAAGCATTGTACCTAGCCTTCTCTGCATATTCAACCCATCTGTGTCTTCCTACAAGTTGTTAAGAAAAACCCCAATGTGTAACAGTTCGTTAGGTAAAACTAGTGAATTTACAAAATCTAATAAATTTGGTCCATGAACTCGTTAAGAGATTGCATGCTCATCAAATAGAAACACAAATATAGGTTAAAGAATACAAAAAGTTTTTTGTCTGATAAGAGAGCTAGTTGTTTAAGTTCTCTAGTCGATTGTTGAATTTCTTCATTAAAGTTGTTGATTGATCTTAATTTTTCTTGTGTAGGATTTTTATTTGTAACAAGCTGCAAGTTCTCTTAGCTTTATATTCATGGGTATTGCGAGGCATCAAAGATTTTGGGAAGCATTTAAAGGTCATTAAGGAGTTACTTCTAGTGCAAACAAAAACATGTCCTGTAGTTATAGTACTACCGTACTAGAATAGCTGAGTGTTTTAGTGATAAATTTTCTTTGGTCCATTTTTTCCCTGAATTTTGTTCTCATTTGCTCAGCTTAGTCCCGCACAAGGAAGGCCTTAAGGAAGATACTCGTAGCACAACCAAAGTAAAAGGTACAAGCACTTGTAGGGTTATATTACTAGTATATATAAACAGGATAAGGATCAACGTCAAATAGAAAACAGTTAAGCCTTTTAGCAATATTTTTTCTTCGTTCTCTTCAGTTCCTACCTTTTGCTATCGCATTTTGTCAACATTGCTCTGTACATGTCTATTTTGAAGCAGAATTTCAAAAGCCACAGTATTTGGCATTACCTTTTCTTGTTTATTATACATCACAATCAGAAAAAAGGCATAAAAAGGGCTTTTCTGTTAGCATAGAATGAAGAAAAAATGAAATAAAACTACAAAATATCACAATAGAGACGTATTATTCCATCATATTTTATCTGATCTGAGTAAAAACAAAGACTATGTAATGATAAGTTGACATTTATTGTTTTATACTTTCATTCAATTCAAGATCCAATCACATCAAATTACAGTGAAAACGAACTATTTATAAGACTGATCATTGCCAGACTTAAGCTCAAATACTAGAGGCTAGATTTGAGGAATTTCAGCAGTGATTGAATTATAATAATAGCTATATTAAAAGAAAATCATGTGCGCAGAGAAGGAACTTACCAAATTGCGTATCTTCAAGTCTTTCATAATACTTGTTACCAAGTTTATCAACACCAACAAGCCTTGCCCCAATATTATGGATCTTTGTTTGCCTACATAAATTTAGAAGAGAGTCTGAATAACAGAGAAAAGAGGACTGACAGAACACAAACCTCCCGACCCCACTCCCCTAACAAAAAAGGAAAAAAATAATAATTAAATAAATTAAGTAAATAAACTAAAGACAGAACCATCTGGGGCTGTTTTGTTGACATTTTGAGAAACTAATTAAATTACAATAAACCATATAAATCTTCTGAAAGAAACAACCCGTGTGTGTTCAATCAACTCAACTTTAGAAAACAACCCGTGCGTGTTCAATCTACTCAACTTTCTAAAACTGTTGGAGTCACAACGCTCTTAAAGAGCTTTTCACTTTGCTTACTGGGGGTAAGGGGATTCAGATAATGTCAATAATGCCACCATCTCAGTCCTTTCAGACTCCAACAAATACAGTTAAATTGCTCCAGTTGGATTAAATTGCTTGTGCTTGAAAAATGCTGCTCAGTACTACAATACAGATACTCTTCCTCTATCTTATTTTGGTTTCTTACCATCATAAGCATCATTTATATTCAGGCAGGGTGGCACAATGCAGACAAACGCCTTGAGTTTGGAGGGAGGGAGCTTTAAAATGACAAATGGGTTTATCACGATCTTATTCATGTATAGAGTGACCCAAAACTTGGGATCTTGAGAATCACTTCCTTGATCCACATCATAAAAGATTCAACAGTTTTAGTTGGCTATTGAAGGCCTAACACAATCCTCCTCCTTTATCCGGGCTTGGGAATTATTTACATGAATAAATAGCAGAAGATTCAAGAGTCCATGCTTTGGTATGGATATTGTACAAGGTGAATTCTAATAATAATAATGATCAGCATTCCAGCTACGGAATTTTAAGACTCAACTGCTGTAGAGAAAGAGTGGGCTTCAAAGAAGATGGCCGAAGAAGATTAAATGTCAGATCCAAACCAGAAGGCTCTTGCATTGGATGCAGATTGTTTCTCTTCTTGTTCATGCCTGCACACTAGTTTGGTGATGTATGCTGCTGAAATGCACAAGAATAGGCTAAAAATGGAGAACCTATCACGATTGTGGTTCAAGAGGATCTGATGGGGATGGAAAGGGCATCTCAGAGGAAGTGGGCCCAAGTTCTGGACTGCAGACTGAAAAAGATGTGGTTTTGGCCTTAGAGAAGGTGTAAACGGGTTAATTTATCAGATTATGAGATGAATATAATACATAAATGTATTTTTACAAAAATAGACAGCAAACATGAGGGAAGGGCTATGTTGGAGATAAGGTCACAATTGCCAAAATAGATCAAATTCTAAGGCTAACAGGGCTCACCATTCTGATTTTTCTAATAATTCAGATTCAGTATTAGATAACTTCTCATCAAGTTTAGTGAAGATGACTGGATGGATTTAAACTTTGATGCAAAGGAACACTCAATTAACGAATGGATTACCAATAAGCGTTCTCAAAGGGAAAAGAAAGGCCAAGTAAAGAAGGGAGATTAATGGAGATCTTGATGGAATTTCTCAACTTTTAGCCGAACATAATACCAATGGAGCTAAAAATTTATCTAGGATCAACGATTTGGAACATACCAGGGTCAATCTATTGGATAACACAATACTTAAGACAGATTCTTTACTGGTCACAGGAAGCAGTCCCCTTGAAATACCCTTTGTTTGTCTTCCCTAGTTTGTTTTCCTAAGCCCTAAATCTGATGTTGTGCTTTCTTATATGGCAGTTGGACAGCGCGCATGGGAGGCTTGTAATAAGTGGTCATGATCTTGGATGTGGAATCCTTCATTTGCCAATGGACAATCATCATGTTTCTCCCTCAGCTAGCATTATGAAGTATCAGGTTCCTAGCAAACAGGGGTTCACTTAAGTCCTTTAGGGGGGAATGTATTGGGTTGGTAAACCCTTTAATCATGGGAAGGTTAAGGAGGTTGATGGTAGGGTATATCCTGATATAATTCAATTTCAAGAAACAGTTAGAAAATCATCGATTATAATGCATTTTGGATAACCATTTCAAAGGTCGGGATGCATTCCTTCTTCTGGTTCTTCAGGTGGTCGTTTGGGTCTCTCAGGTGGCCACCAAAGTAGATGTTCCAACGGTTTTTTTAATTGTTTATCCTTTCTTTTTTTTAGCCTTGTCAGACTTCAAATTCCAGTGATGAATGTTCATTATGATTGTAATACACTGCCATCAATTTATGGTGCAGATATATAATATACACAGCAGAAAGGAAGGCGCATAGACTAAAACACAGAGGAACATATATCCAATCTAGAAACGGAAAACATTAACGCAACTACGTAAGATATGCAAAGAGACGACTTACAAGAGGTTTCCATCGCTAAGGCATCTCCTGGAAGTTCAAATGATAAAAGGCACAATCAGAACGACTAAAATTTTTAAAAATACATTTAAAGTCGGGAAAAAAAAATCAAAGTGCCCCAAATAATTTCTACCGGCACGAATCAAAATGAAACGCCTATAGCACCAAGCCACCAGCCATAATTTACAATCACCTCAACCCGATAATGTGAAATGAATAGGAAGAGTTAAACAAATGAACAAAAGCAGAACCGAGATCTTTCACCCACTTCACAGCATCCACCAACCAAAACAAAACATTTTCAACTAAGCCCCAAAATCTTGGAATCTAACATTTTGCCTTTCAGAATTTTCCGGCGGTTTATGATGCAACGAAACAAATCCAGAAATCAACTCTCAAAAGCAAAAGCAAAAGCAAATAAGCGAAGGAAAAAAAGAAGACTTACAAGTAGCCTTCTTCCTTGAGGGTTCTAACGAAGGCACTTAATCCCTTTTCTCTGATCGAGTTCACGACGCTCTTCACTACCGACGCCATTTCTCGTCCTCCCCTCCCTGTTCTCACTAGTCGCTTCCCAAGCTTTTCGTTGGGCTCCTTTTGCGATTTGTTATTTTTCTTTTGGCGTTAATTTTCTGGTTTCTTTTGCCGTGAACTTATGCCTTCCAAAATTAATTATGAATGTTTTTGGCCAAAAAATTAATTATGAAATTAAAAAATTAATAAAGTCCTCTATTTAATATAAAAACTAATTTAGTTTTTAATATGATCCTAAATATAAAAATCTAATTCATTTTATGCTCAATATTTATTTTTTTAAATAATTCTTATAGTATCTGTGTGTGTTAAAGAGTTACTATTAATTTATAATTTGAACATATATGATCTTAATAAAAATGTTTTAAAAATACAATAACTAATTTACTATAAATAACTAACTTAACTGATATATTCTTAAATACCGGAGGTAGTAATAACTTATGAGATTTTATTTAGAATTTATAATTAATTGATTGATTTAGGACGTACAATGCTATTTGCTTTTTTTTTTTTTTTGACAACCACTACGATAAAAGTATTTGATAATTGAAATTATTTATTATTTGGTCTTAGGTTTATAATTGATTTTGACATACAATATTTTTTTGAAAAAAGCATGATTTTGACTTTACTTTTTTCAAGGCTAAATAGTTTCCTAAAAAAAATTCTAAACACACATGTTTCAATTAAATTAATTATAAGACCCTGAATAAATACTTATATTCTAATTAAAATTAATTATGGGATCATTAGTTATATTTTTATTAGTAGTTCTCACATGTTTTGGGTGCATCATAGCATTGAGTAAAACAAAATTTTAATCTGTTTAACTTAGTCAATTAACTTTCATATTAAGCTATAGAGATAGTAAAAAGTTATAATTAACCAATCACATGCAAATGATATACAAACACACAAACTTTTTTTTTTTTTAAAATAACATACAAACACACAAATTTTAATTATACAACAAAGTCAAAAAGTTACACCAATCCAACCCAAAGCACCATCTAAGCTTAAGCACAACTCCAAAATATAAGAATATGGATATAATTATATTGGATTAAATTGCATTCACATCCTAATATATTTTTTCAGGTATACTAAGTTAATTTCTAGTGTAAATTTTTTATGCATCCAACATTCCAAAATATTTTGAGAAAATCATAAATAAAGACTTCTGAATTACCAAAATTACGCAAAGGTTATCTGAATAAGCAAAATTACCATGAGGGACCCAGTCTTATATTGTAAATATGAAATTTTGATGAAATGTCTGAAATACACCACGACCAAATGACAAGTTGACTATAAGAAATAACAAGTTCACTTTAATGAATGATAACTTCAGTAGATCAAATCACAACTTGGCTGAGGGGTATTTCAGACATTTTGTCAAGATTTTATATTTACAATACGGGACTAAGTCCTTCATGGTAATTTTGCTTGTTCAAGTGACCTCTATATAATTTTGATGATTCAGGAGTCTTTATTTGTCATTTTTCCAAATATTTTTTCAATAATAAATAATATTGTAAGTTTAGAATGTTATTGCCGTTCAGAAAAATACTTTACGAGTAAAATTGCATAAAAACTTATTTTAGGGTACTAGATAATGCTACTTGAAAAATTCTTCATGTTGTTGACTTGGGATATTTTTCTTGACCTTCTGACTTTGGATATTGAGTGCTACCTAAAATATACTTTTCCAATCCTTAATATAAGACCTATTTAACTAATTTGATTAGATTAAGGAAATTAGGTAAGTTAGTTAATTATAAGAAATGTGACACATTTTTCCTAAAATACCATAATCATCTTTCTTAATACCCCCTCTTTTTCTTATACTTGATTATGGTTGAGGGAGTATCCATAGGGATAATTTAGAGAAAGATAAATATGAGAAATGAGTCTTATATTTAGGACCAAAATCAACTCAATAATTAGATTTTATATTAAGAACCGGAGGAGTATTTCATATCTTATCTAATTATGAAGTCTCAAAAAATAAACATAATTATTGAAAAGTTTCACTAATAATAGAGCAGTGGCAATAGTTTTAGTATAGAAGATGACAATTGCTTACTTATTATTAAAATTTACTGGTAATTAACTCTCTCCGCTGTTAAAAAGGCAAAGGCTTTGGTTGCTTTCACATGAGAAAACTTTATGCTTACGCGTGTTTCGAACAATATCTTTTGCAGGTGGCAGGCTTTGTGGACATGGTAATTATGTCATTTGGAGTCATATTCTTGTGATTCTTTCCATAGCCTCTTTGTCCTACTTAACGGCCATCCCAATGGGAAATTGCGTCAATCCAAACAGAGTCACATGGAAAAACGTAATACTGTAAATCAAACTGGAGCTCCGTTTCTCGTTCTCCATCCTTATCGTCAGCAAAATGGTTGACCCAGAAGCCAGCATCGTGCTGCTGGTTAAGGAGATGGACGTTAAGGTAAATCCTATTGTGAGTTTTCTGGGTAGAAACCTGTAGAACTCTCGCATCTGAAACGACGATGTAAGGACGGAAAAGAACATCATCACTGAGACTGGGGAAACTTGCCAACCCAGCAACGTCGTCCATGATGGTGAAGAACAGGAAGAGATCAGAGGAGAGTTGATGAGGTTTGGCAGGCCGTGGTCATCGGGTCCACCCGGAACCATGTAGGCTGCAGCGAAGACCGCGGTGGCGACCAGGACTGACACCGCAGACCATGACTGAGCCGTTCTCCTTCAGCATTATTTCTGGGTGCTCTAAATCAAAAGGCTCCTTTGCTGCCAAGGAGCGTTTGGAATAGAGTGATTTTATAGAGTTGCATGTGAAAATAATTTTATTTGGACCTATGCGAAAACATTTTTTAAAAAGAGAATTATAATGAGATTCTAAAAAATAAAAAAATTATAAAACAAGTTTCAGATGTTATCATTATTCATTTTAGAACATATTATTATAAACTATTTAAGTTATTATTAGGACTTTTTAATAATTTTCTTTTAAAGATTTGATTGTAATTCTCTTTTTAGGTTTCCAAAAACAGCTCATACGCTACGGCGGTTGCAACACAACTGGCAAGGGCAAGGAACTATTTTTCCCAGACTGCATCCTCTCCCAGATCGCTTATTAAACCGGGTAAACTGAGGACCTTTTAATGGAATCTGAATGAGCTGTGTGTCAACTACTAGCAATGAATTCTGAAATTGAGGAGCCACCTTACCGTCATAATATTTCTTTCAATATAGGAAGTAAAGGGAAGAGGATAAAAGGACAAACTTTAGGGTGAAACTACTCGTACTCATTATATTATATTCTTTAATCACATTTGTTATGTTACTATGTTTAGGCGTTAAAATGCTGTTGGGAATGGGAACCTCTCATTCTTTCTTCTTATCCTCTTCTCTTTCTAATCACTAGATTAATATTTTAATGGTTGACAGTTAAATTTTTTTAAAATTATTATTAAAATATTAAATTAAAAAAATAAATAAATAATAAATTATGAACTCTATTAAAATTAATTTGTAAATACACTAAACATTTTAAAAAAAATTTATAAATATTTTTAAAATATCAACTATTAAAATATAGGCCAAAATACACGTAAGTCCTCTCAACTTTAGGTGAATTGCATAAAACCCCCTCAACTTCAAATGTTCCAATCCCACACCCTCAACTTTCATATTGTGACTATAAGCCCCCTACTGTTGAAATGGCTGTTAAATCCAATAGAGTGAATGCCATGTCAGCTTATTAAAAATTATGTAGCAAATGAGATGTAATTTTTATTATCTTATTTATTTATTTTAGGTTAGAGCCAACAATTGTAGTAAAGGGTATTTTCGCCATTCAACATGATATTAATCCCTAGCACAACTCTCCCAAATTCAGTAGTCGTCCTGCTCTAACAGCCTCCCGCTACCTGCGAGTCTTCTATACCATATCCACTCTATCAATGATGCTTACTTCATCTTCTAACCATAATCTTTGTTCAAATTTATCCTCATGCATCCCATTCTATTATCTTCTTAATTGAATCTTGGTAATGGTGTTCTTTTTTTTTTTTTTAAATTGATACAAGGGACAAGAAAACAGCACTACTATGTTTTCAGAAGCTCTCTGATAAACTCCTGGACTGACTCCAAGCCAATGTTTTGGAGTCCAACTCCATTGTTGAGAGCATTATAGTCATTGCGTCTGCCATTTGATTTTCCTGCTTAGTATCGGTATTCTACCATTGATTTTCTAGCTTAAACCGCATTGTTCCAGGATAGATCCCTCATCATCTACATAATCCCGATATTTTCGCACAAATGCATCATCTTCATGATGATTGTGGAAATATGAATATTTTCCTATCAACTCCCTACAAAACAATGTTAACTGGAAAACCCAACATCATATTTTCTACGGCACTTTTGCAAAGAATCATCTTTAGGCTGAACTCTTTCAACAAAAGCATTGGTAATTTCTATCTTTCACTTCCACGCAAGGCGCCCTCTCGCATATGTTGAAATAAAGGTTCTAAATTTAAATGAATAATGTGATGAAGATAGGAAAAATAATGGTGACTTTTTGGAATGAGAAAGAAGATCAGAAAATTTGAGGAAACGATGCCGACAAGGAGGCGGACTTGCAAGACGAAAAGTGAAGATAATGCAATCATTAACCAAACAAGTTCAAAATCGGGGGGAAAAATTCTAGAAGGAAAAAGGTAATGAAGATGATTTTTGAAACAATGAAGATGATTAGAGAATGGATCAAAGGTTGGGAAGGGAGAGGACTTACAAGTTGCAGAATTAGGAGAGGCTGAGAAAGGGAGACAATGATGAATCCTAAACACTAGGAATTATTATAGGTTAAATCACCGAAATGCCCTCTATTATAATTATGAGTTTTAACTCAAAATAAATAAACAAAATAATAAAAATTACATGTCATTTGCCACATAATTTTTAATAAGCTGACATGTCATTCACTCCGTTAGATTTAACGGCCATTTTAACGACAGGGGGCTTATGGTCACAATCTGAAAGTTGAGGGTGTAGAATTTAAACTTTTAAAGTTGAGGGGGTTTTATACTACTTACCCAAAGTTGAGGGTAGTTATGTGTATTTTGGCCTAAAATATATTAATCCAGTGGTTGAAAAGAAAGAGGAGCAAAGAGGATGAGAAGAGAAAAGAAAAGGTTCTGAAACGATTGAAATGCATATATATACTTACAAATTTACTTATAAGCACTTGCAAAATTTTTAGTAGATCTTATAATGTACATTATGATTTGAATTATCATATGGAGAGCTTGTTATTTTATTACTACCTTAGATCTTAAGGTTTTGTTTGGTTCAACAGAAGGAAGGGGAGAGGAGGTTAATTAAAGGAAGGAGAGAGAAGGGGAATCAAGGTTATGGGTTTTCTTTGGTTGGAGGGAAGAGGAAGGGATGTGAGATTTCTTGTTTGGTTCATAAAAAGAAAGGAGGAGAGGTAATTATAAATTGACAAACATGCCCTTATATTTAGACTGCTATATTATTTTATTACAATATTTATATCAAAATTATTATTTTTTAATTTATCAATTTCAAAAAAAACCAATTACTTCACTTACATGTGATAAAAAAATTATGATAAAACTAAAAAAAATTAGGAAATATGATAAACAGTTTAACATTCCATCTCATTAATTTTATAATTATATGTATTAATATATATGATATGTATATATTATATAATTAAAACACACATGTTATGATATGTATATATTAATATATATGCATGTTTGCAGCCTATCTGAGATTATAATACACACACGCTATGATATATAATTATAATACACACATATTATGATATGTATATCTTAATATATATGATATGTATATATTATATAATTATAATATTATATTATCATTATCAAATATTATTAGTGGCTGAAAAGAGAAAGAAGTTAAAAAAATATTTCTAATAAAAAGGACAAACTTGAAATATTGAAAAGTTAATATGGGTAGTTTAATCAATATTAGACATAATATTTCTCTCCCCTCCAAAAAAACTCCAAATTTGGATTAGAGCATAAAGAGGGGAGGGAAGCACTAAAAGACAAATTTTTTTTCCTTCCCTCCCCTCAATTTTTCCCAACCAAACACACTTATTTTATCCCCTCCCTTCTCCTCCCCTCAACAACCCTCCAACCAAACAAAGCCTGAATATGAGGACTGATTTTGGATTTGATCATAAATATAATATCTTAATTCGCTTTATCTTTTAAATTTATCATATTTTTTTCAAAATATCTTTGTCTCTAGATAGGGTTTTTAGCAAAGTATAATATATATGGTTAGATAGGGTAATTTAAGAAATATTTATTATAAATAACTAATTTAATTAATTTTTTTAGGGTTCTTTTGGTATAAAGGAAAGGGGAGGAAAAATTTTAATGAGCTAATTTAAAAAAATTCAAGAAATGGGGTTAAAATTTTTTGATTTATTCTAATTACTCTTTTATCTTAGAATTTCTTTTTATCAAAATTTTATTTAATTTTTTAAAACAAACTCATTAAAATTTTGCCTCCCCTTTCTTTCTTTCCATCTCCCTTATACAAAAGAGACCGTTAATCTTTATAAATTCATTATTTAACTCTTATATTAAGAATCAATAGTAATATTATTCACTGAAATATGTATGCCTACTTATAAGGGAAAAAGACAAAAAAATGACATATTAACTTCATAATGTCCAAAACATCTGTTCAATTTAAAAAATTCCATTTTGGTCTCAAGAGACCAAATTGAGATTATCATGATAAACGAAAAAACCAAATTGCCCTTCATTTTATTTATTGTTTTAAAATACCAAAGCCCCCACTGGTTGGCCGGTCACCAGAGCTCTGGTAGTGGCAGTCACTGGAGCTTCGGCGACCGGCCGACAATTAGTCATCGGAGCTCTGTCGGTCGAAACCAATTTTTTTGAAAATTTTTACAACTTCAGTATAACAGTGAACAACTTTTGTAACACTATTAATAACTTCAGTATAGCAGATAAAACCATGTTTTTTAGGAAATTCAATAAGCTCCGGTGACCGGAAACAATTTTGAAAATATTTACAACTTCAGTATGACAGTTAATAACTTTTGTAAAGCTATTAACAATTTTAGTATATTAGTTAACAACAGGTTTTTCGAGAAATTCAACAATTGGTCACCGGAGCTCCGGGGGCTGAAAACAATTTTTTTTGACAATTTTTATAACTTCAGTATAACGGTTAACAATTTTTGTAACGCTATTAATGACTTCAGTATAGCGGTTAACAACAGGTTTTTGAGTTTGTTAACAGCATTACTGAAGTTGTAAAAATATTACTTTTTAAATTTGTCAAAAAACCTGTTGTTAACTGCTATATCAAAGTTGTTAACCGTTATACTGAAATTGTAAAAATCTTAAAAAAAAAAGTAGTTGTTAAAGTTATAAAAATGCCATTTTTTTTTAATTTTTAAGAAAACCTATTGTTAAATGCTGTACTGAAGTTATTAACAGAGTTACAGAACTTGTTAACGATATTACTGAAGTTGTAAAAATACTAGTTTTTGAATTTTTTGGAAAACTTATTGTTAACTGCTATAATGAAATTGTTAATAACATTACAAAAGTTGTTAACTGTTATACTGAAATCGTAAAAATTAAAAAAAAAAGTAGTTGCTAAAGTTGTAAAAATACTATTTTTTTGAATTTTTAAGAAAACATGTTGTTAAATGCTATATCGAAGTTGTTAATAGAGTTACGGAACTTGTTAACGGCATTATTGAAGTTGTAAAAATACTACTTTTTGAATTTTTCGAAAAATCTGTTGTCAATAACATTACAAAAGTTGTTAACCATTATACTGAAATTTTAAAAATCTTTAAAAAAAATTGTTTCTGACCGACAGAGCTCTTGTGACCAATTGTTGGCTAGTTGTCGGAGCTTTGGCGACTGGCCGGCCAATAAGGGCTTTGGTATTTTAAAAACAATAAATAAAATGAAGAACAATTTGGTCTTTTCATTTAACATCATAATTTCAATTTGGTCTCTTGAGACCAAAATGGGATTTCTTAAATTGAACAGATGTTTTGGATATTATGAAGTTAATATGTCATTTTTTTACTTATAAATTGTAATTTGCATTTTTATTTTATTTAATTGATATAATATTAAAACTGGTATCAGGTGCAATCTAAACCCCGATCAAAGCCCCAAACAGAAGCCTACTGAAAAACAGCGGATGACGTGGTAGAATCTCATTGGATAAACATACATCATCGTTCTCTCTGAGTTCATTGGAAATAAAAATCCAAGAGAGACCGAAAGCGAGCTGCTGAAGGTGCTGAAACTGATCGCCGACGTTTGTTTGACCTTTTCAAGAATTGATTGGTGTGTATTATTTCGCAGGAAAGATTTAGTTTTCTCCTCTTTCAATTGATTCATCCATTTTTGTAGCTGTATTGATGTTGGACGGTGATCTGACTCTTAGTTTAGGGTTCATCTTCTTGGGATGTATTGGCAGAAAACTGGTTGTGGGATTTGAGAGTTTTTATCCATTTGGGCCTTTCATGCTGATCTAGTATCTGTTTTTTTCCTCTTAAATGTTTAAATTGTTCGTTCTGTTTCATTTTTTGTTTGAATTGTTTTTCGGGGATTTCTTAAGCTGAATATTAAATGCTTTGTTCAATCAATTATACCGTTCTTGTGTTATCATCATCATTCTTTTTAAATTTAATGGGTTATTTTACTTATCAGCTTCCGGATTTTTTGGTTGCTCGAGTACTAATGACATTGGTGTAGTTGAGGAAGAAGAGAGGATCGATTTGATTTATTTCGTATTTTAATGCGTTCTTTTTTGGGAGTTAATGGTTGTTGACAACGCAACATCCTTGCCCTTTAAATATAAGTGTGCCTGAAGGATAACCGTTTTATGTTGAGTTAGGACTTCTTCTGTATATTGATTTCCAGATGTTGATTAAATGGCTGCTTTTTCAGGGTGTAGAGCAAAATGATGAGGCTACAGACATATGCGGGGCTTAGTTTCGTTGCAACTCTAGCTGTTACATATCATGCATTCAACAGCAGAGGTCAATTTTATCCAGCAATGGTTTTTCTGTCTACTTCCAAGATCAGCTTGGTACTTCTTCTCAACATGGGTCTGGTCATTATGTGTCTTTTATGGCAATTAACGAAGAGGGTCTTCCTTGGCACACTGCGAGAGGCAGAGGTTGAGAGGCTTAATGAGCAATCATGGAGGGAGGTTATGGAAATTCTCTTTGCCATCACCATTTTTAGGCAGGATTTCTCTGTTACATTCCTTGCTATGGTCACGGCACTGTTGTTGATCAAAGCTTTACATTGGTTGGCTCAGAAAAGAGTTGAATATATTGAGACCACTCCTACAGTGCCCTTGTTGTCTCACATTCGAATTGTGTCTTTTATGGGTTTTCTCCTTCTTCTGGATGGACTCTTTTTATATAGTTCCATGAAGCATTTGATACAATCATGGCAGGCTTCAGTTTCCCTGTTTTTTGCTTTCGAGTAAGCCATCTTCTCTATAATCGTCCTAAACTCGTTGTCAGTTGCCATATGGCTAATCTGAATTGAAAAATGATTCACTTTCTATCACTTTTAAAGTTTTCTGTGTCTACATTGGTTGTGTCAAGATTAGAATGATGCATGATGGTTAAAAACTATACAATCTTTAGCTGTTCATAAGCCCAGCTAGGCCTTTTAAATATATAGAAATCCAGAATATTGTTGAATTCTTAACTTTCTTGTTTGATCAGAAGCCATTTTATTGTAAGCAACCAATCATTAGGTTTAATTAACTTTAGTCATAGGATGTATTAATATGAATCACTTTACCAACTAGGAATCTATTTGTGCTAACATTTGATTTAACATTTCAGTTTATTCAGTTTGGGAAGTGCTTTGGAATCTTTGAATAATTTATCCTGGGGATTTATCTTTGACACTATCTATTTCCATCTCAGGTACATGATACTGGCAACAACAACAGTGTCAATTTTTGTGAAATATCTTTTCTATGTTAGCGACATGCTTATGGAAGGACAATGGGAAAAGAAACCAGTCTTTACATTCTACTTGGAACTCATTAGGGATTTGCTTCACTTGTCTATGTACATGTGTTTCTTCCTTGTAATTTTCATGTAAGTGATCATTCAGCTCTTATTTTGCATATGCATGGTAGCCCTCGTGAATTAAACTGGCATCTGCAGTAAAGAAGTCATATGCTCCCCTCCCCTCCCTCCCTTCCTCCCTTCCTCCCACGTGTGCACAGACACACACTTATCAAAAGTAACTCTTATCCATTGGATTGCACATAGAATCAAATTTTCTTTCATAATTGATAATGATACTTAATGGATTAGTTTCTTTGACATGAACATTTGAAACTCATTGTGATAGAAATCTTATACCTGTACTTACATTTGCATGGCCTTGTTGCCTGATTGGGCATTATTAAGGTGAAATTTACATTTTTAATTCTTGGGAAGAATAAGAATCTTCCTAAAGTGTCTACTCGGAGGACCTTGCCAGCTTAAAATTTTTAACCTTGAAATTGATTGTTAACATTTTGGTTCAAAAATTTGAATGTGGGTTCAAGAATTGGAATTTGCAGGTAAATCATACCTGGAATTAGACAAACAAGCTGCTGGAATTTTTGTGCAGCACAAGCCCTCTTTAAATTATTATTTGGAAATTAATGGGTGAGAGAGACATATTTTGTCATTTTTTTAATTAGGCTAGTCCTTTAAAATTTCGGATTAGGCAGCTTCAGTTCCAGATTGGGTTGCAATTGCACTGAGGATTTTCTTTAATAATAACTTCCTCATTGGTGCCCCTTTATTTTCTAGTAACTTGTTTATGTCATCTCCTGTTCAGATGGTTGAACATTGGCCGTGGAACCGTCTGTCTAATTTACTTAACTAATTATAATATTAATTAAACATATGCTCGCTGTGTTTGTCATGGAACTTCACTGTTATCTTATTGCTTTATCATTTGTTCAGAGATATTAAATTCAATAAGTTGATGGTCACCCGTCACCTTCTACCGTTTTTTTTTTTTAATTACTTCTACTGTTTTCTTTTATTCAGTAGGGAATGTTGTTCTAAAATAGTTTGTCCAGCTTTTGGTTTACTTGTTTGCCATGTTTTGATTTTGATTTTACTGCATGTTTAGTCTTCACATGGCTATTTCTTCACTTACTAACCTCAAGTTGGTTTTGATAGAAATTATGGTGTGCCTTTGCACTTAATACGGGAGCTGTATGAGACATTTAGGAACTTCAGAGTTCGTGTCGCTGACTACATACGGTACCGTAAGATTACATCAAATATGAATGATCGGTTTCCTGATGCAACCCCCGAAGAGCTTAATGCGTAAGTTGTTAACTCAACATGTTACTTGTTAGTTTTTAAGTTAAGCTTATATAATAGTATTAATTTTTAAAATGGCTATGCAGAAGCGATGCTACATGTATTATCTGTCGTGAAGAGATGACTACAGCCAAGAAACTTATATGTGGACATCTTTTTCATGTGCATTGCCTCCGATCATGGTTGGAGCGACAACATACTTGCCCTACCTGCAGAGCCTTGGTTGTACCACCTGAAAATGGGGCAACTACTGCTGGAGGGCAGCATGGAGCACAGTCAGATCGACAGGGTAACCCTATGAGAAATACTATATGCACAGTTTGTTAGCATATTAATGATTGCAGTATACCAAAATTCAAATGATACTATTTCTGATGAAATAATGTCTTTAGCAACTGAAATGGAAAATGGGAAAAGTGAATGTCATATAGCTTGATATGAACAGACTAGTCCTCTTGGGATATGCCCCTTCCATGCAACAACCATACATTATCCTTTTTGAGGCATTTTAGTTTTGAATTGTTTTTACCATACAAACTCTTTTTTAGAGAGTTAGGACATTTCTATCCCATTTTCTTTTATTTCTTGGAGAGTCATAAGATGGTGTATTGTGTATAATGAAAACCGAAATAATTTATTCAACTCTTAATGAAACCATGTTATCTTTTTTCTTGGGATTGTCACGTTCTCTTACTTTTTTGTCTAATATGGTCTCGTTTTGAGTTTAACACAACCTGTTTAAATATTTATAAAATAATATGAATAAGGTGAAGATTGCAGCTTTAGATAGTGCTGACATGATGTAGGGTGGATTATTGTAACATGGAACAGGAGCAGGAGCAGGAACAGGAACAAGTACAGGAAGCTCAGCCCAAGCTGAAGGTGGCAGTGGGGCAGCTACTGATAATTTGAGTCGTCATCAAGCTAGACTCCAAGCTGCAGCTGCTGCTGCTTCAATGTACGAGAAGTCTTATGTATACCCCTCGGCAACTTCTTTAGTATGGTATGGCAATATCTCTTTCCTTTCACCAATTTAATTTTTTTCTTGTCCCTTTAACCAATTTAAATATCATTGATTTGCCCGCCACCTTTCTTAACACACATACTCACAGAGACGTGCTCCACACACACTTAAACAGACTGATCCATGAATGAAGGATTTAACCGAAAACATATTGTGTGCCAGGGTGGTTGTTATTTTAAAATTTTAGCAGTGGGAAAATAATATTTTATACATACATGTTATATTCTATTAATCTGTTCTAGTGTAAAGGACTAATAAACTGAGGCAAGAATCTTGTTTGTAAAAGATGGTCCAGGGGCTATTCGTTGAATCAAGACAAAGGTCTATTTTTTTCTATTTTTCCCCTTTTTCCAGATCGTAGTCTTACACATGGAATCTGATTCACACGTGTTATTCCTAAAGTTTAAGACATTCTAGTAATTTTGAAATGCAGTTCGAACATTGTTTACCTAATCTTGCTACAATGACAGGCATTTTGGCAATATCTTGAATTTTGAAATCCTTTACCCTTGCTTCAGCTCCAAAAGCATGAATAGAAGCTAGTTAATTTTGTATTATTTTGGTATGGAAAATTTCTTTGGTTTTGAAGGTTAAAAGCATCAGCTATACAATTTGTAGTATTCTATTATCTCAAAACTCAAACTATCTTTAAATGCTGTATTTCCATTCAAATCTGGTCAATAAAACGCGAATCAATTTGATTAATGAGGTAACTATCAATTTCAAGTTCCAATTCTTGTGTTTAAGGTGCACTGTAAAACTGATAACATCAATTGCTTACAGCCTATTAAAATAGTCAATTAACTGGGTTTGTTCTCCTTTGCAGCGCCCCTGGATACACTGTTTATCCTCCTGTTCAAAGACCGGCTGCTGAATCTACTAATACTGAATTTAATGTAGAACATGAACAAACACAACGGCAGTTTCTCATCCCTGGTGGACCAATGAATGTTTCCTTTCATCCAATGGGACCGTTTCTTTTTCCCCCTTCTCTAACGCATGTAGCAAATGAGAATTATGGGGAGGGATCTGGATCTGATCCAAATACGCCAAAGTCTCTGCTGGAAGCTCAAAGACGCCAGATTGAGGTATGATTGCGCTGAACTTCTTTAATGTTAACTTGTTTGTCACTGCCCTGCCAACTAATAGCTGTGACATGTCATCTTAGTGAGCTTTTGCAAAGTGGTCAAGTTTGGTGATTATGGTTGCCATCAAATGAGTGGTTACACTGTGGCTTTTCCTATCCCCATGCCTCTAGTCATTGACATTGCTGACATTATAACTACTTTCTCACAATCAGTTTTCTGTAAGAATGTGCCATATCACATGCACATATAAAATTAGTGTATAGCATTCCAGTGTATCAGACTTTGGAACTCTAAACAATGAAACACGATTCGTGATGGCATGTTGGTAAATGTCCACATTAATTTATTCTGGATTTGTGAAAATTGAAGAGATTTCGGAAACTGATGGGTCCCGTATGCATGATATGTACGTACGTGCCTATGTTCTTTGAAAGGGTCTGTTTATTTTATTTTATTTTTATTTTTTTAAAGTTTCATTTTAGATTTGTTGAATCATTTAATGCATTTTTTTCCATTTTTATTTCTAATTAATTATATGTCTCATCTTTTTTCCGCTTATTTTCTTTCATCTCTTTCTTCACTGATCCCCCCCCCCCACCCTCTCCTAAGGGTGTTTTAGGAAAATAAGTTACATTTTTTAACAGATATATTGTATTTAACCAATTTTAACCTACTTTTCATATTGCTTAAGTTAATTATTTGATGTTTATATTTTGAGCTAGAAGTATTGAAGTAATACCTAGAGTGCTTGGTCTGGGTATTTAATTTGTTTGCATCACATAATCCGAGAATGAAGATAGAAATCTAACTCGTACAATTAATTTTTTTGGGGTGAAATTAAAATAGATTCTGCAAAATCAGCTCCAGATTCTGCGGAAGGCATGTGATGAGGAAAATGTGAATGGGGGCAAGACGACATCAAGTGGCAAAGACAAGCAGGTTGCTTCCTCTTCATCTGTGTCTGATATTCAAGGCAGCAGTTTATAAACTGCTTGCTTATTTTTCTGGCTGTATAATGAGGAGACTTCCAAATGTAGATATAGGCAAAGTAGAGTACAGAAATCACAGCATCGTAGGTCGCATCATCAATTTGAGATTGTTCAAGGCTTGTTCTTTGTTATATTAATCTTATTAATGCCTAGTGCCTCTTAAAATTGATTTGTGTCTGGCAGGCTTTTGTTATCTTGCGTAATAATTTTTATGGTAAATATCTAGTATTAAATATTACTGAATGTCATCGAGTTCATCATGGGAATTTTTTTTGGTTGGCATTTTCATGGTAATTTATTGCTAAGATGTGGCCATAAAATTAGATGGGGTACTTTTTGACTTTGTTTTCTTCAGGCGGCTCGTAGGTCAATGAACATAAGTTTTTTTTAGGGGATGTTTGACAAATCCCATTAGCACTTTTTAAAAGTGTTTTCACACAAATCAAGATGAATTTTATTTTATATTTACTTCGTACTGTAAAATCACTTTTAAAATTATTAATATGATTTATTTTAATATTCTCTGAACATGAATTTAAGTGAATTTCATTAAATTATAAAAGAGAGAAAAGTATAAATAATATGGAAAATATAATAGGTATTTTTATTTTCTAATTGTTTTACTCGATTTCATCAAACTTATTTAAGTGTCAAAAACAAAAAAAAAAGGAGAGAAAACAACGAGTTTTCATAAACCAACACAATAATTCATTTCACTTTATTTTGTTATTATCTGTACACAAATTATAGCTGATCTTCTGTCTTTCAACATGAAATCAGTTTTTTAGTTCTAAATTATAATTAAATTAATGTATTGGAAAGTATTATTTCACATTTCACAATTCATATTCTAAAAGAAAATTTTATTTTATTTTTAAAAAGATCTATGATCAGAAGAATTATAATCAAGTCCCATAAAAGGAAAAAAATTACAAAACAAATCCAAGATGTTTTTATTTTTCACTGTAAGACTTGTCATTATAGGCCGTTCAAGTTGTTATTAGGATTTTTTAGTAATTATTTCTTTTCTGTGTAATTCTCCTAAGATCTAATCATATTTTGGAAAAAAAAAAAGAAGCAAATTAAAGGAACCTCAATGGAACTAAGTGGTCTTCGACAGCCTTTGTCTTGTTCATTTGCTTATGCATCAGAACAAAAAATTAAAGATATGGTAAGTATGATTTTGAGGATAAAAAGTGGAGGTAGACTCAGACTTTTCAATATTTTGTTCCCGCGATTTTGGACACATAAACTTGATTGATTGGCCAAGCTCACTACTTCTAAAGTTTAAATTATTTAAAGGAAGATGCACAAATAGTTCAATAATATGCTTTTCAATTTTGTTTTTTGAATTGAAGAAAATCATCTCAAATTACAAGTGGAATTGAACTCACGACTTCTTACTTAAAAATGAGCATCAACGATACTAGGCTACATAGCCTTTAGCAATGTAATTTCCAATTTAAAACCTTCCCAAATTGCATATAAGCTTTCTACAGATAATCAATTAGTTTCTAATTACATTTATTAATTTATGTTTTGAGGAATATGAAATGCTTTGGAAAACTAAGAACTTTTAGAGTTTAGACTGCTATTTTGTATTGATACATAAAGACGCTTTATTTTGACTGATGGAGTTCAAATGATTTTGGTGATCGATAAAGTTCATTCTCTCATCATATGAGTTTAGCATGAAAATCACGTTATTGTATAAAGTGATCTTTTAAATACTTGGTATTAGCAGCATAGTGTGTGTGTGTATGTGAGGAGGGTGGTGGGGTTAAATAATTGTGATGCAGTTAAGATAAATTCTTCTTAGTTTCTTTTTCAAAGTATTGGATTCTGTTTTGAAAGTAAATTGTTTTTTGGGGTGAAATGTTTTGAAAGTAATTAATGTTCAAAATAAGTGACCCCCAAATGATGGAGACCCTTTTTCTTTTAGATATTGGTATCTTTATATGGGAAGTAATCTTATTAGAAGCATTGTCAATCACTAAATATGAGTACTTCTTTCAAAAAAGATTTAAACATTTGTCCGTCATGTTATGAGTGACTAGTCCTTTTTACTAGAATCAATACCCATTGGTGATGGAGACCCTTATTTTGAATAAACACTCTGATAAAATTGAACAAAGAGTAGTATCGTTCTCCATCTCCTTCTCCTCTCCCGCACACCCACATTGTGATTAGAGGAAATTAAAAGAGAATATATGGATTTAGAAATTTTTATAATATTTCTTTTAAGATTGATATGTGTGGTAGGGGTTTTATCTTTAATCAAATGGTTGAGGTTTTGATTATTAGTACTTGTATATGGAAAAAATTTAGCTTAAAAAACAAAAGATCTACACTCTATATTCTAAAAAGATCAGCACCGTTTCCCATATATCCGTGGAGAATGCTCTTTCTCTCGCAAAATAAAAAACAAAAGTCAATTCTATTGATTTAGCTAGGAATATCAACTCCAAAAAATAAAAATAAATTAAAAAAATTGGATAAATAAAGATATTCTTTGCGGAAAAGTCGATACGCATCCCCACCTCAATTACTTTTCCAAAGAAAAAAGCAAACTTTAAACTGACTTTAAATAATTATATATGTTTTTTGAAGCAACAAATAATTATATATATGTGGAACACACCAAACAGGAAATTCATGGAAGCCAGATAACCTGTCAATATGTGAGTTTGAGTGAAGAAAGAGATAATTATTTCAGAGCCCATCACGTAATTGATAGTGAATAGTTTTGACGATAAAAAAAATTAAAATTTGAGAGTTGTTGGTTTTCCTATTTTGATATTCATGTATTATCTTGTTGAATTATCATATCTATAAATACATATATATATATTAATATTCCAATTTATTGGATATTGGTTTGTCTCAACTATATTTCTCTCCATTGCATTTTTAATATTACAGTTTTAACTAAATTGCTCAAAGTAAATTTTAATATGATAAATTAAAGGAAGAATGACAAATAAAGACCTCAAAAATTATTAAATTCCAAATGAAGATTGATTACCACATTTGACAACACTTACTTTATAAATAACAATAATTTTTGTGAGAATATCTGATTTGGAATTTTATAGTTTCCATCGCTTTGTTTTTTTGTCAATTTCCCTGAACTAAAATTTTAAAAACTATCATATTCAGTTCAATAATACTGCAAAAATTTTAGGTTTTATCTGATGGTTAGCTGTGAAAACCATGCAGGTTGTAATGCTTGACTTTATAGTTTATTTTTTTAAAAACAATTGTTAAGTTCTTAACAAAACTGCAAGCCTTTAACTCTCTAAATATAATACCTCAATTTATTTTATTTTTTAAATTTATAATTAGGTAAGCCTTTCTTTGAATTATAAAACTACACCTAGTGAGACTTAAATCTGAGACTCAACAAAGGTCAAATTTTGAACAAACATAGGATATATAGATTTTATTATAAGAAAAACCTTGTACTATATAGTATATATAGTTATTCATAACTATATGGAAAAATTAATAATTTAGGAGAATTTATTATAAATTTAAAACTTAAAGAGATTATTTGTACCTAACATGAAATTCAGGAAAATTATGTACAAATCAGGTCAGAAAAGAAGAAAATTATGTATAGTTTTTCTTTAAATTAAAGAATTCGACCTTATCGGCATCGAATAATAATGTGATGGAGATTAATTAGAGAAGGAGTTGAGGGAGAGATAATTGCAAGGTACCAAAACCAACCAGCCTCTGGACCAATTGGTAACGAGTTAGGGTTTGTTTGGAATTCAAACAGACTTTTAAGCAAGTTCACATAAGTTGAGACAAAACTCTTCTCATATACTTACTGCGTATTCCGTAAATTACATTTGAAAAGCTACTTATAAGTTAATCCAAACAAGCACTTAATGGTTAGTGGGTCAGACCGGAATCAAACTGGTGAGGAATAAAAAAATAAAATTAATTTAAATTCTAATCATATCATCCAAAAGACTAAATATCAATTTAATACCTTGAATTTCTAACAAAATAATTCTCTTGACAAATTGACATCATAGCATCACACTATTAAAATCACTAAATATTCACTCTAGCAATATCAAAATATATTTATGGTAACAGAATATTTCTATCTATAATCTTTAAGTTGTTATAATTTTTTTAGCATTAAAACAACTTTTTTTTTTTTTACAAAACATAACTGGGTTAATTCACCAAATCGGTTAGCTTAACCGAGTTTCTCTCAGGTTGACTTGATTACGCCGAGTCACTTTTTGGTCCATCTCATTGCCGGTTTTTCTGCTAACCAGACTGACCAGGTGATTCATTGGCCGGTTTTTGATCCAAGCCAATCGGTCTGGTCCGCTTTTCAACAGTACGAATTGTGATAAAGTTCTTGGATGAATTCTTCTTTTTAAAAGTGTTGGAGTATTCTTTTTTTTTTTTTCTTCTGCTAGTATAGGAATATTCTATTTTAAAGTTAATTAATGGCCAAAACAATCAATGCACTATAGGGGATATTTAGTCGAAAGGAACAAACATAATGCGTGATGACATAGATTTTGACATCACATCAAATTTCAATCAAGTTCTTTGGTTAGTTACAATCACAAAGAGCAATCATATATGCAAGTGTTAAAGAAATTAAATATATACTAATTAGATAATAAAAGCAACGAGTTCACAAAATTTTATATACTACTTTTCCTCTGTCTCTTTCGAAAATACGACCCTATGATTTTATACAAGATCCAATTTAGCATGGATTTGAAAACACTACTTATAATAAGATATTAAGTAATTTTTTTATTAGATAAAATTTTTCTCACACATTAACTACCTCTGGTTTTAATTATAAAAGTTAGTTGACTAATTTAAGTAGATTAAGAAAATAAGTTAAGTTAGTTATTTGTAATATATAGATTTTATCTTTTTTAAAATATCCTTACTAATCAAGCGTATTAGCTAAAATTATCATCATTAGAAGGACCACCTTGAAAAAAATACATAAATATGAAAGTCAAAGTAGATTGAGGTCTTATATTTGGAATCAAAATAAAAGTTAAACAAGATCTTATATTAAAGGCCAGAAGTAGTATCTTGTATATCTTAAAATTAATTTAAATAAGCTTATGCAAATAAAGACTTGAGTGTGAGAGTGCCTAAAACTTAACTAAGTTGAGTAAACAAAACCATCAACAAGTTAACAAGTTATTAATTGATATGGTACGTAATTTTACTATGTAAAGAAGAGAATACGAATTCGAATATTAAAAGATGCACTTACTCAAAGGGCTTTAACTTTAACATACTCCTAGCCTGATAGAAATTATTCTTAAGCCTAAAGTAATTTGAGTATACTTTGAGTTAAAAAAAAAAAAAGGGGAGATCTACACCATCCAGTCTAGATTTGATTTGATGAGTTTTGTTGCTTTTCAAAGGAATATATAGAGCAAAACAACGTGTCTGACGGTAGCATTCCCACTAAAATGAAACCTTATATGGAGGATCGACTGCATAGAAAGCATGTTATTATTATACTTTACAGTAACTAAATATATATATTCATTATTATTAACTAAAACGTTATGTTTAATAATTTTGTTGAGAATTCTCTTTCGTTTGCCTTTATGTCCTTTTAGACTTAGGGAGTATTTGAATAGAAATCAAACTATAGTTTTAAAAATAATTTTACGGTATATGAAGTAAATATATAAAAAGAATTTTATGGAGTTTGTGTGAAAATACTTTTAAAAGGTGTTTTTTGTGATTTCTAAGTACACCTCCAAAAACGTCTCATCTACCTCTTCACCCGTGCTTCCAACAACAATCTTTGAACATCTAGCTGACTCCAAATGATTGATTATATATATGGAAAGTGCCCAAAATAAAGCACAATAAACAAAGAAACTAGTGGTAGTGAGAAAGCTTATTGTTTAATCTCTGGGGTGTGAGTGAGGGAGAGATAAGGCTATGGATTTGGGGAGCGAAGTTGAGAAGAAGGTCAAATTTGAAGCCAAAATGGAAACACCACAAGAACATGCTTTACACAGCGACTGGCTCGCCTTCAAGGCCTTCTTCCAGAAAGACCCAAAAGCCCTGATCGAGACCTTTGACCTCGCCGGGAACACCGCGATCCAGGTCGCCGTCCGGTCGGACGACCCGGAGCTCATCCGGCAACTGCTGGACATGCTTCCAGAAGACTCCGATCGCCGGCAAGCGCTGAGGACGGGGAATGCTCACAAGAACACGCTTGTTCACCAGGTGGTTTTCTGCCAGAATCTGAACATGGTGGACACTTTGCTGAACTATGAGATGGACAAGAAGCTGAAGCAGGCTGAGGATGAAGATCTGTTGGAGCTTCTGAACGACCTCGGCGAAACTCCGGTGTACCGGGCCGCCAAGTACGGGCGGTTCAGGATGGTGAAGCACATGGCCGGATTTGTAAATATAAAGGACCATTTTCACAGACGCCAACCAAAACTAGACACAACTTCCATTCTTCACATCGCTATAATTGGCCACCATTTTGGTATCTATATATCTATATATATATATTTTCTGAGATTCTTAGTTAGATAGTATCAAGAAGCATAATCCTCAGACACTAAGGTTGAATTTAAATAAGCTAATTGAAAGTTGACGATATGGTGCAGATGTGGCATTGTGGTTGTCGAAAATGGAAGGGATTGAGAAGGTAGCATTTGCGAACGATGGAAACAGATTGACGTGTCTTCAGCTGCTTTCAAGAATGCCTTCAGTTTTCAGGAGCTATAATTCCCAGGCTGGATTTATAGACAAACTCATTTATGCTTGTACGTGTACCACTTCTCTCTCTAGTCTCTCTCCCTCTCTTTTTAATGCTTTATATAGAAAGTGAAATTGCTTGTAGTATAACTTGTTAAGGTCCCGGGACCCTTAAAAAAGGATTAGATGAAAAGTCATGGCTAGAAAAAAGAGCATGGTGGGGTGATATGAGATTGAGAGAGTGTCCGCTAGAAACCAAACTACAGTTTTAAAAAGTAATTTTATAATATATAAAATAAATGCATAAAGGAGTCTGCCTTGATTTGCTGAAAAGTTCTTTTTAAAAACATTTTTAGGATGTTTCAAACTCCCGCAAGTTTTTGAGGTCATTGGAATTGATTATACATATGTGTGTGTATATATGTATATATATAATTTGGGTGTGTAGTTCTTCCGGAGAAAGGTTATGATGAGAGCAGTAGTGATGATGAAGATGATGGATTCATGAAGAAAGGGAAGAAGGAAGATCTAGAAAGTGCAAAAAGAAAGGTAAACAAACCCTTGTCGTCGTCCCCTGCAGGTACGTATATGTATACGTACGTATTGGATCATAAACACATAAAAAACTATTTTCATCATCAGAACAATACATAGTTGTTGTCTTGTTGATATGAATTTGATGCTACTTTTGCAGTTTTCTCAGGGATCTACTATATCATCTGGAAAATTGTGGCCAAAGGTGAGATCATTTAATCTTGCCTCACTTTTCATCCCTATAATTGTTTGCAATATTCTCTCTCCTCCCTCCCTCACTGCCAACGAAAAAAGAAAAAGTATCATAATCATTTTATAAAGTGCTACCTCCGGTCCTTAATATAAGACCTCGTTTAACTTTTATTTTGGTTTTAAATATAGGACCCCAATCTACTTTGTCTCTAATATTTATACATTTTTTTTCCAAGATAGTCTTTCTAACAATGATAGTTCTAATCAATACACTTGATTAGCAAGGATATTTTAGGAAAGACAACATCTATTTATGACAAATAACTAACTTAACTTCTTTTTTTAATCTTCTCAAATTAGTCAACTAGCTCTTATAATTAGGACCGGAGGTAATAATACTTTTTAACATTCTTTACTTTAATATTCACTAATAAACTAAACCACTTTTTAGTGAGCTAGTTGAACCACGCCTTCCCTAAATAATGAATTTTATTGTAGGTAATTTTAAAACCGAGAAATCATTCGCAAGTCTTAGGTTATCCTTTGAAATGTAAAATAAAAAGATGAGAAATTAATGTTTAAATTTTAGTCTATTATATTTTAGAAGAATAGTACAAACTTAAAAATAATAAAAAACAAAAAATACAAATGCAAATCTATGTCATTTTTAGATGCTATAGGGGTGGATGTAAATAAAAAAAAGTTAAAAAAAAGAGGTATTAAAAAATTCTTATTTACACGTTAAACTTTCATATTTGTATTTCAAATTTTACAATTTTATATTTATAAATGAAAATTTTATATTTACAGTCACTAAAAAAAATAGTGAATTAGGGTCGCTAATTAATTTAGTGACAAAATTCCATGGCTAATTAATTAGTTATGGTCTTCCTTACGATAGAATTTACAAATTCCGTCGTTAATTCACAGTTTTTTTTGTTGTTGTAATAAATCGTTTTTGCCAATTCAATGTATTTACAATTATGATGGAACATTAACCTATATTTTCAATTAAGGGCATTTTCATCAATCAAGCTTGTTCTTTCAGTGAAAAACTTTGGCACTAGCTCGTGTTTTATTTTGCAAATTTAAAACACTTGTGTGCCATTAGTTTCTAAAAAAAGGGACTTGCTTGTGATTTTCTCTTATGTGAAATGGTTGAAATGTTAAATGCAACTTATTAGGTCCATAAAACACATCTACGCCACGTACCAAACTAATAATATTCTGATTTGTGACATACATTTTGGGAAATATGCAGAATGGGATATGGTGAAAGAAATCTGGGAGAGGAAGAAGAAGCACAGGCTAGCAGAAGAACTAGCAGACTTCTTAATAAGGCAAGACAACTCATGGATGGACACAAAACATGGAGAACCTCGAACTGAGGTTGTTGTGCCGGTGATTCAACCTTCAACAAAGAAAGCCAAGCTTGAAAAGACACAATCCTTAGAAAACCCCATTCCCTGCAAAGATTACACGCCATTGTTGCTAGCAGCAAGCACCGGCATCGTCGAGATCGTCAAGAAAATCGTTGACCTTCATCCCGACGCCATCTCGCATGTGAGCCAACATGATGAGCAGAACGTGTTACATGTCGCCGTCAAGCATCGTCAGAAGAATGTTTACAAAGTTCTGAAGAAATATGGAGCTCTCGGACGCTTAGGGTCTCAGATGGCCAACCAAGGTCGGACCCTTCTGCATCAGGTTGCGAGGATGGATTATTATGATGGAGGAAATCAACCTGGTGTTGTCTTCCAGCTTCAGGAGGAGCTACGTTGGTTCGAAGTAAGTATAGTATAATTAATTAATTAGCCTTTTGGTTTGCGTTGAGAAAAGCATATAAATAAGTTTAACATCACATATTGACCAAATTCTCATTAAACCTGCAGAAAAAGCATATAAATAGAGTAGGTATAAGCTATTATAAGTCCATATGTAGACCTCTTGTGTGTGTATTTTCAAATAGCTTTGATTATGTGCAAGGTATTAAAATGCAATCCAAGTCGCTTAGTCAGACTAGTGAATTGGTGAACTAGTCTTCAGTCTGACCACGGAACCAGTTTCGGTGCTCATTCATTTGATGAGCACTATAAACTAATCAGATCTGAACCGTCTATATCTCATTTGGGTGGTTCATGTTTGATTTCTTTTTTATTTTTATTTATTCAAAATAATTATTTTAATATCTATAGAATCTAAAACAGTGATGATCTCTTAACTATCATTCTTTTAAAAAATAGTTTATTCTATTTAAAAATAATTAATTAAAGATTTTAAATCTGGACTGTTCAAATGAGATATAGATAGTTTAGATCTGATGAGCTTATGGTAGTCATCAAAGAGATGAGTACCGAAACTAGTTCCGTCTGACCACGGGTTGACCCAATTGAAATTTATATTTTTCTTCTCTTACAAAGTTTGAAACAATGTTGTTTTGAGTTTAAAGAAAAATATATATACATACATGCATGCGCGGTTTAGTAACTTTATTTTGTTAAATTATATTTATTTATAAATAAATATTTTATTTATTTGTGAATTAATAATCTTTTTACTTAAATATTATTCTTTTCATAATTTTATATGAATATGTTGTATATTTTAATTACAATTGTGTTATTCTTATCATTGGGTTGATTCTGGTTTAATCACAATTAGACCATAGACTCCTGAAAAATTATCTTAGTCCTGTTTAATGATCAGTTGGGCTTTTAATCCCTTGATTACGAGGTACTTTTTCTTTCCACTACTCATCAATCCTTGAGCTCCAGCAAGTGATGTCCATCTGATGTGCAATATGTAAGAGTTTCTTAATTAGATTAAAAAACTGATGAGTTGCAATCATCACTTCAAAGTTCCATGAAAGTAATATGAACCAGAAAGCGAAGATTCGTTTTGTTTTGGATTCAAGAAGGCTAACTATTATTGCATGTACAATGTTCATGCAGCGATTGAAGAGGATAGTACCTATTCCTTACCAGTTATTTTGCAACGACAATAATTTAACAGCAAAGGAGCTTTTTGATTTAGAGCACTCAGAAATGCTCAAGGAAGCTCAAGAGTGGATCAAGGGCACAGCTCAGTCGTGCTCCGCGGTGTCCGTCCTGGTGGCCACTGTGGTCTTCGCCGCAGCCTACACGGTCCCAGGCGGCATCGACGAAAACGGCGTCCCCGTCCTCATCAACTCTCCACTCTTCCTCTTCTTCGCCATCATGGATGTTGTGGGGCTGGCAAGTTCTCTAGTCTCAGTGATGATGTTCCTTTCCATCCTTACGTCCCCATTTCAGATGCAAGAGTTCTACAAATCCCTACCCAGAAAGCTCACAATGGGATTCACCTTATTGTTCATCTCTTTAACCACCACGTTGCTGGCTTTTGGGTCAACCATTTTGCTGACAATAAGAATGGAGAACAAGAAATGGAGCTCCAGTTTGATTTACAGTGCTACGTTCTTCCCTGTGACTCTTTTTGGATTGACGCAATTTCCCATTGTGATGGCAATTAAGTACAGAATGAAGAGGCTGAAGAAGACCATAAAGAGGTTGATTCCGAATGATATCATTACCATATCCACCAAACCCAAGAAGAAAAGAGTTTATTCAAAATACGTATGAGCATCTCGATCGAGTCCGAGGAAGCATTATTATATGTTTTAAGTATATTTATGTATATGGATTGGATAAATTTGTTGTGTATTATATGAAATAGTTTGTGTCCTTGTAACTTATAGCAGTAACTTTGTTTTATCTCTTCTTCGTGTATTATATTATATGAATGACATATGGCTATTCCTTCTCGTTCCGTACATGATGTTACTTTCGTGGCTTTCAAACGGAACCAGTCCCCGATCAAATCTCAAATATTAAAATTTAATACGGGCGGCTGAGATTTAACTTTTTATATCTCTGTTTTTTTAAAAATATTTTTCTTTAATAAGTAAGTAATTCAAAAATGTAATCTTTTAAATTTTTCAAAAATATTTTTTATTTAAAAATTATTAGTTGAAAATTTTAAATCCATACCAATAAAATTGTATCTGAATAGTGTAGATTTCATCACAGCAATAAGCATCATGGTGCACAAAACTGTAATGAGTATTGAAACTAGTTTCCGTTGAAACTTGGTCTCAATCTCCTTCTGGTTCACTCATTGATTTGATTGCTTACGCTTTGTCTTGTGGTTCTGTCAAGTTCCCAGCCATTTTCTTGCCATATCAAGTTGGATTTTACGATCGAGTTGAACAAAATATTTTTCATTTTATTATGAGACCGTGGATGCGCAGTGAATCACTATCGTTGCTATTCATTTATATGACCTAGTTTTTTCCCCGTGAATATCCTCCTAGTAGACACAGTCCTGTTAGAAGCCTATTGGACACAGTCCTATTAGAAGCGTTGTCTCTGATGCCAAGTTAGAAATTTAATGCTCTGCTTGGATAAGAAGAAAAGTTGAGAGGAAAGAAAATAAGAGGAGAGAAGATAGAGAGAAGAAAATATTGGAGGGAAGTTGTGATCATCCCTCTTGCTTGGATGGATGAGAGAAAATAGAAAGGAAAGAAAATTAGCATATATATAAAATGACTAAAACGTCCTTATCAAAATATATCATATTTACAATTAAATTAAATTAAATATTACAATAGAAAAATTATACCAACATTAGCATCATCAAATAATTTAAAATCAAGTTATTTGGTTTGTATATATTTTCAGATTATTATATTTTAAAACCAAATTATTTAATAAAAATATTGTTTTAAGATTAAAAAAATGAATAACTTTTTAAATATAATAAAAGAAAATAAATATGGAGAGGAAGAGAGAGGAGGGGTAGTCATGGAAGTCTTGTTTTTCTTCCCAAATCTCTCCATATATGGAGAGAAAATTTGGAGAGAAAATGAAGCATGAGGCCCACCTTATTTTCTCCTCCACTTTTCCTTGCCCTCACATTTTCTCTCCTATCCAAGCATGAGAAAATTTGTTTCTCCTTATGTTTTCCTCTCTAGTTTTCTCTCCTCCCTAATTTTCTCTCAATCCAAGCAAGGGGTAAGAGAAAGCGTATGGAGAGAAAAGTGAATAAAGCTCACAGTCAAAAGATGATTAGTTGGCAAAGTGAATAAAGCTCACAGTCAAAAGATGATGAGTTGGCACGTACAATCTCATACTACCTCCGGTTCTAATTATAAGAGCTAATTGACTAATTTGAGAAGATTAAAAAAATAAGTTAAGTTAGTTATTTGTAATAAATAGATTTTTCTTAAAATATCCTTACTAATCAAATGTGTTGGCTATAACTATCATAATTAGAAGGATTATCTTTAAAAAAAATATAAATATTAGAGACAAAACGATTGCGGTCTTATATTTAGGATCAAAATAAAAATCAAACGAGTTCTTATATATATTACGGACCTAAGGTAGTATGTATACATATACATACACACAGATAGCCACATATGTACAAGAGAAGAAGTACATAACTTATTGACGACTAACAATTAATATATAAGTGGGACCTCTTCTAATGAAGCTCTAAACTTTGGTTGACCGTGACAGGACTAGCCCATTTCTACTACATTTAATCCTGTTAATTAGTTTTTGATGGCGTAGTTGTAGTTTTTGGGCTGCTTCTCTCACCTGTTTGTGTGAAAATAAATTTACTCTTTATGGTCTGTCTACTGAACCTTCAGCCCGATCTGGCCCCCTCCTCATTCCATTTCAGCACATTCGGCACCTTCTTCGTCAGCTTTGACAAGTTATTCATCTTTCTAAACTCTTGCCAATACATAACAGTCCTACCTTTTACCATCAAGTGCTTGATTTGATTGGTAGGGATTCGTGCCAGCTTACTTAGAGGTCTTGAGTTTGAATCTTGAAAATACAATCGCGGCTTAAACACTTATGGAAGAGCTTTAATTTTCTGCCTTTTGTGATCATACCTAACCTTATATGAATCAGTTTTTGGATCCTCTCATTAAGTCCTTCAGTTTAAGTGAGGCAAGTTCAAGGCATCAAATGGTGTTGTTGTTAGCCAGAAAAGTAGTCATATCTTTACTTCAAAAGATAAAAGGGGAAAAAGCTAGGAATGGTATTTTGGAACTAATACATCAATTTAATTATATAATTTAGAACTAACATATTTTTAAAGGGCAATAACGGACCAAAGTTTCTCAGCAGTCATGTGTGATTTTACTTGGTTACCCATTTTCCTTTTGTTTCATATATGTTAGAAATTAGAAGATTAATTGATAGTTGTAAAGTATTATATCGTTACTAAATAATTGAAGAGGATGATGTTTCAATTAAGCATCCATTCTCCATGTTAAATTGTTTAACTAATATAATACTAGTTTACTATTATGCATATTAGTTAAATGAGTTTTTCCCCCGATCTTCCATGTTAAAAATTAAGGCGTTATTTGGAAAAAAAAAATTTAACGTTTTTGCGTCAAATTTTGAAAAATTAATGTGAAATTTCTATATCCATGTGTTAGCTAAATAGTTTCATTTTTGTGTATCCAACTATACAATTTTAAAATATTCTGGTCCCAAAAGCTAAAAAGAAAATTCTACCTCGTTTTTTTGTTTTATAATTAAAATGAACTAATCATAGGTCCAAAGGCAAATTAACCAATGTGTTTGTTTACTGCTTAGGCACCACAACAACAAAAATTAAAGATATAATGAATGCGAGTTTGAGGATAAAAAGGGGGAGCTGACTCGGACTTCACAATATTTTGTTCCTGCGATTTTGGACATATAACTTGAATGATTGGTGATTGATCGAGCTCGCCATCAAAAGTTTAAATTATTTAGAAAAGCTGACACTTTTATAAAAGAGAGCTCTTTAAGCGAGAAAAATGCAAGTGGAGCAGGGAAATGGGTTTGGGTATTCATCATTTTTGATTCAGACGGTCCAAATTTGATGATTTGTTTATTCTTATTTTCTAAAAAAATATTTATTTTAATGGATATAATCTAAAATAAAAAAATTTAACTATTATTTTTGGAAAAAATGTTTATTTTTATTTAAAATTAGATTATTTACATTAAATTTGGATAATCCAGATGTAATAAATACTCAAATTGGTCCTGTGAAGTGGCAGTTTCACTTTGGAATGGACGAGTAGTGAGTGATGTTCATTTTATTGCAAGGTACGCACTAAAAATGATATATTCATGGCCACTCATAATCTAACAAGCATTATTTAGAAAGCCAAAAGTTATTTCACCATCAATTTTTTACGGATTATTAATTGGAACAAATGTTTTGGCTAACTTTGTTGTCAGATTTGTCATGGAATTTCGATCCATCGCTAATTTTTGTCACAAATTTTTAGCGATATCACTAATTGTTATGCAGGATTTCACGAAATAGCAATAATGTTGCCCTCTAAAATCTTTCAGGATAAAAATAATTAAAGAAGAAAGCACAGTCATACCCACGTAGAATCATAAGCGGCATAAGATCTGATGTGAGAGACATTGTTTGCCTATTTTAACTTTGAGATACCCACAACTACAGGAATTTTTGGGATACAATTAGATCTTATCCTTTATTTTACTTTTATTGCTCTTCCCAATCACATCACATTATCCTGTGCGGGAATTAAGCAAAGTTTAAAGAAGCTCCCACAAATTAAAGCTGACTCCAAATAATTCATACTATTTTCGATCCTAATTATAAGATATTATTTGTAATCTACAAATGAGGTCTTATAACTAACCCACCAAAACATAATATTCAACAAAAAAACCTGTAAGAAAGCCGGACTATATAAAAGAGATGTGAATGGTCATAATGATGAGTAACGAAATTGGTTCTCATTATCTTGTGCGGAATCAGGTGTAAATTAAGCAAAGTTTAAAGAAGCTGCTATAAAGCTGACTCCAAATGCTTCATACATTGATAACCCACCAAGGAACCCGCAGGAAAGCCACATAGCTTATTGATCTGAGAGAGAAAGCAATGGAAAGGGGTAGAAGGGAAGAGGAAAATCCCAAATTAGTTGACCCCAGAATGGAAGAACCACAGACATTTGCTTTACTTGGAAAATGGGACTACTTCCTGAACTACTTCCGGCAGAAAGCTGCCGCCGATGATCTGATTAAGCCCTTCAATTTGGCCGGAAACACTGCCATTCACATCGCGGCTCGATCCGACAACCCCGACCTCCTCCGGAAGCTGCTGGACATGCTTGAAAAAGCCTCCATTGATCATCGCCGGGAAGCCTTGAGGGAGGTGAATGCTCACAAGAACACACTTCTTCACCAAGTTGCCTTGTGCGAGGAAGTGGAGATGGTGGACCTCGTGCTGAAGTACGAGAAGGACAAGAATCTGGCGAAGCCTGATGATGAGAATCTGTTGGAGCTGCGCAACGACCTCGGCGAGACGCCGGTGTATCGGGCCGCCAAGTACGGCAGGCTGAGGATGCTGAAGCGCATGGCGCAACATGTAGAGAATATGGAACCACACTTCCACCGAACCTCAGACTTCACTTCTATCCTTCACATTGCCATAATTGGCCAGCATTTTGGTATCAGCATATATATACTTCTCTTTTAATTCATTGAGATTTCACGTTTGCGTGCATATGCATTTATAATTAGTTAACTTACTTCATTTACAACTCATATTTACAAGTGAATCAGTACAAGTTTTGCAATATTTATGTTCAAATTTACATATAAGTTTACAAGTCAATTTTTAATAAGGATAAGGGGTAATTTGGCCTTTTTCTTGGGATTTGGGTGTCAATTGCCGCTCTTTTGCTGCCCCCTCCATTGCTCTTTGAATTTCTCTCACTTCTCCGATATTTTTTTGGTTGTTTCTTTTGATTATTAGATTCTACATGAAATGAGTGATATTTTAAGGGGAAATTGGTAAAAAAAAAATCTTTGTTTAAAATTTTAATTAGCCAAAAGGACCTGAATTTGAGCAAGTACAAGTATGATTTGTGAGTGCAATATATCATCCGCTGTGTATAACATATTTTCTGTTGTATGCAAATAACTTCTATATTGATCATTATTGCACATCATTGATGATATGTTGCACACAGCGGATGATATGTTGTACTTATGGATCACATTTGCACTTACTCAAATTCAGGTCTTTTTGGCCAATTAAAATTTCAACCAAGGATTTTTTTTAATCAATTTCCCCATATTTTAATATCTCATGAACCAAAAATGATGCAGTTTTTTTATTATTATTTTTCAAATAATTTGTATCTAAATTAAAAAAGAAAGAACACCGATTTCATATTATTTTTCTTTGAAAAATCATTAAAAAAAGTAGAAAAAAAACTACACCATTTTTGCGCATGCCATATCAAAATATCATTCATATTTATATAGAATTTAATAATCAATTTACAAGAAATAAGAAAAAAAAACATTTGGGAAGTGGGAGAAATATAAGCACAGCAAACACATGAAATCCATTTTTTTTTTTTGTGGCAAGTGTAACAAATTAAACGCCATTCATGGAACTTAGGAGTTGGGACATTATCATCTTGATAAGTACTTTATGCTCATCATATCTAAATAGTTTATATTTGATTTGAATAGTCCAAATTTAAAATCTTTAATTAATTATTTTTAAATAGAAAAAATTATTTTTTGAAAAAAATGATAGTTAAGAAATTATCTCTATTTAGATTATACACATATTAAAATAATTATTTTAAATAAATAAAAAAATCAAATGCGGACCATTCAAATGAAATATAGATATTTCAAATCTGATGAGTTTAGAGTGCTCATTAAAATAATGAGCAACAAAACTGGTTCGCACAAAATTGCATTTAATATTTTTAAAATATTTTTTGAATAACACTCAATATCTTATATTTAGAGTGTTCATTGCTGCTGAAAAAATAATTTAACAGCAAAATTGCATCAATAACCCTTTACAGTACCAGGTGCTTAATGGAAAAATATTTTAGGATTTCATTGAAACACAACTTAGACACTAAATGCTACCAGGAATATTCTCCAAGATATGGATGTGCATCTTGACCCATTTAACAAATTTACAGGATTATTTAAAAATAAGTTTCTTAGTTGGGAGTTATTCATAATTTTTCCTATATAATTTCTTACACGTATATAATATATATACATACTTTTTTGATAGAAAACAATTAAAATGCATTAATTATAGAAAAAAGCAAACAAGAGTATAACTAGATACAAGAAGTAAAAGAAGGACAAGAGCTAAGAAATAAAATTAACCTGGGATCCAGAGAAGAAACTACTTGCACAGAGGAAAAAGTAAAAAAGAAAAAAAATAACAATATCCTTGTAAATAATGTTAGAAGAGGTTGCAATAGCTCTTTTTACAGGCACGTATATAACACACACACACACACACACATATATGTTAAACCTTTTTACAACTCCATCCTCCATTCTCACTATCATCTCAGGCCTATTTTTACTAGCTCTCATCATTGTTCTTCAAACTACCACCTATAGTAGGGAGGGAGAGTGATCGGGCCAATACTTGTATGAGGTTTTTTTATATTCATCATGCCAAGTTTTCTAATCACGCATGATCATGTATCCTATTTTTGAAATAGGATTAATATAATCTTTGGTCTCTCAAGTTTGTTTTTATTTTGATTTTGGTTCTTCAAATTTCAAACCATAGGCTTTGCTCTCCCTAAGAGCAAAATGGTTTAAGTTTTTATTAAGTTATAGGGACTAATATTTTAAATAAAAAGAAACTTGAGGGACTAAAACAAAAATGAAAGCAAATTTAAAGGACCAAAATTTGTATTAACCCTTTGAAATATTATCATTTAGTTATATACCCACATGAAAAAATAGGACATATGTAGTGGAAAACTTAACATAATGGATATAAGAAATTTGACATAAGTATTTTCTTGGTAGAAAGATACTTCATACACACACACATATTTCCAATTTCCTAATGTATACACAATAATTAATCCTGCATGATACATTTACTTTGTGGTTTAGTAGTTGCTTAATTTGTTGGCCATTAAATGATGGAACACGAAGAAACTGAACCTGACGACGCTGCAGATGTAGCCAAGTGGTTATCAAAAAAGGAAGGCATTGAGAAAGTAGCATCTGCATATGAAGGCATTAAGGAGAAAGGATTGAGCTGTCTTCAACTGCTATCGAGAATGCCTTCAGCTTTCAAGAGCTATAATTCTCAGGCAGGATTTGTACACAACCTCATTTATGTTTGTACGTAAAAAGCTACTTCTCCCCCCTATTATCTTTCTTCAGTTCTGCTATTGCATTCTTTCAAATTTGCATATATTTCAATCCCTTCATTTGTATTTGTTCACAATTTTACTAATTATCATATCAGTTTTGTACACAAGATGCATAATTTAAGTGTTAGAGTGAAGATAAAGTCAATTATTGCCCTTTTGGCATAGTGGCATGTTGGCATGTGGGAGATCGCAGTTTTGATCCCGCTGGTTATGTGTCAAGTTATTGGCTTGCTTTGTGCATTTAAATAGAGAAAGGCGAAGACCTATTTATGTTTGCATCGATCATTCTTAACATGAATTGTGTTTGCAACTTTAATCCAAGCATGAATGCACAAGTAGCACAGTTCTTCAAAAGAGAGCTACTTTTGTACTACCTCTGATCATTAATGTAATAATTAGTTAGAGATTAAATTTGTTCCTAATTAATATAAGATCTCAATTTATTTTGTCACTTAAGTTTATATAATATTTTTTCTAAGATATCCCTATTAATTATCGGGGGTTCTAACTAAGAAATATTTTCAATATATAGAAAGGATAACTTAGGAAAGTTAACACATATTTATTACTATAAACCAACTTAATTCATTTTCTTGATATCTCTAAATTAGTTATCTAATTTTTATATTAAGGATCAAAGGTAGTATTTATTTATTTATTTTTGACAATTTATAATATTATCTCTGGTCTTTAATATAAGGGCTTTATTTGACTTTTATTTTGGTCTTAAATATAAGACCCCAATTCACTTTGTCTCTCATATTTATGCGTTTTTTCCAAGGTAGTTCTTCTAATGATGATAGTTCTAATCCATACACTTGATTAGTAAGGATATTTTAAGAAAGACAACCTCTATTTATTACAAATAACTAACTTAACTTATTTCTTAATCTCCTCAAAGTAGTCAATTAGCTCTTATAATCAGGACCGGTGGTAGTATTATACAAGTTGTATGATCGAAGAGTGGATTCGGATTGATGCCTGATGTATAAGTTGGGTGATAGGTCTTCCCAACAAAGGTTATGATGAAGAAGAAGATGATGATGATGGGTTTATTAGAGAGAACGGAGATATAGAAAGCGAGAAGGGAGATATAGAAAGCGGAAAAAACAAGGCCAAGAAAACCATCTCACCATCTCTAGCAGGTACGTACACATATACTTATGAACACTATTTCTTTTCTGTAGTTTATATACTACCCCGGTGCCTAATATAACACTAGTTTGAAAACAAATTACTTGACTGTAGTATATATTATATAATCTCTAGTTACATGTATCATTAGATATCATATATATGCATAGTACTTTATATGATTCTTAATTTTTTCAAATCAGTCAACAGGGTTCAAATTAATTCCTTGTATGAATGTTCCTGTTTTGCAGTTTCTCCCATTATCTATTATGCCATCTGGAAACTTGTGGCCAAAGGTAAGGATCTTGGCTCAGTTTTGACGTACATGTGTGTGCACACACTGCTACACTACCTACAAGATAATTATAATGTATGAATATGTGCAGAATGGGATAGTGTGAAAGAAATTTGGAAGAGAAAGAAGAAGAACAAGCAAGCAAAGGAGGTAGCTGACTTCTTAGTGAGCATAGACAACTCATGGACGGAGACGAAACATGGGAGTCCACGAAGAGAAGTTGTCCTGCCGGTGATCCAGCCCAAGAACGTTGCTGCAACGAGGAAGGCCTGCCTGGAACCCCTTAGGTGTAAGAACTACACGCCATTGCTGCTAGCAGCGAGCACCGGCATCATCGAAATCGTCGAGAAAATCATCGAATCTCATCCCGACGCCGTCTCCCATGTCAGCCAACATGATGAAGAGAACGTCCTGCACGTCGCCGTCAAGCACCGTCAGAAGAACATCTATAAGCATCTCAAGGAATACAAAGTCCTCAAAGGCTTGGCCTTTCATATAGCCACTGATAATCGCACTCTTTTGCACCAAGTTGCGAGGATGGACTATTATTGTGATGGAGGAAACCACCCTGGTGTTGTCTTCCAACTTCAGGAGGAGCTCCGTTGGTTCGAAGTAAGTTCTACGACTCTTATATTTACTCATTTTCTTTCTTTTTTTTTTCTTACCTGTCTAAATGGGGAGAGTGATAATATATTTTATTTTTCTTTTTAGTTTTCTCTTCCGTTCATTTTCTTTTCTTTCGGTAACTTTTCTTCCCATCCAAACGGAGTGTAAGGATGAGTTAAAGAAGGCCCATCATAAACTGAATGTGTTAAACATTTTGACATTTTTGTGTGTGGCTTGAAAACCCAAGTGTGAATGCAGTTGTGATGTTAGAATCCGGTACAGCATTATAGAGTAGGGAGAGATTTACTGGGGGAAGAAGGTTTATGAATGGGATTGATTACATATTATTGTATATGTACATGCAGAGAGTGAAGAAGATAGTTCCTTGTCATTATCAGTTGTTTTGCAACAAGGATAATTTAACAGCAAGAGAGCTTTTTGATTTAGAGCACTCAGAAATGCTGAAGGAAGCCCGAGAGTGGATCAAGGGGACGGCTCAGTCATGCTCGGCAGCGTCCGTTCTGGTGGCCACCGTGGTCTTTGCCGCAGGCTACTCGGTTCCCGGCGGCACCAATGAGCTCGGCATTCCAAACCTCCTGAACTTTCCTCTCTTCCAGTTCTTCACCGTCATGGACGTTGTGGGGCAGGCCAGTTCACTAGTCTCAGTGATGTTGTTCCTTTCGATCCTTACGTCGCCGTTTCAGATGCAAGAGTTCTACAAGTCTCTTCCCAGAAAACTCACGATGGGATTCACCTTCTTGTTCATCTCCTTGATCAGCACGGTGCTGGCTTTTGTATCAACAATATTGCTGACCACTGGGACGGGGGAAGACGAGAAATGGCGTTCCCGTTTGACTTACAGTATTACGTTCGTCCCTGTGACTCTATTTGGATTGACTCAATTTCCCATTATGATGGCCGTTAAGTACGGGATGAAGAGGGTATGGAAGAATCTCAAGAAGATGGTTCCAAAGGACATGATTACTAAAATGTCCACAAAGCCCACCTGCAAAAGAGATTATTCAAAATACTTATAAAACCCACCTACCAAACCTCCCTCTCTCTTGGTTTCTCTCTCCACATCCTTATATTTTGGAGGTGTGCTTAAGCTTAATTGGTGCTTTGCATTGGATTGGATTGGTCTAATTTGATGAGTTTGTTGTATAATTAAAGTTTATGTGGATGCTTTGGATTGGATTATTGGATTTGAGTGTAACTTGCTGACGGGGGATGCTTAATTACGATGACACACTTGGAAACTGGTGGTTATCAAACCCTTATAGGAACGGAATTTTACACGTATAGGATGTTAAATTATCTTTTGAAAATCTCTCTAAAGAGCATGGAGATACTGGGAAAAGGTTGCATTAATTAAATAGAACATTCGCCATGTACCATATGAAACTAATATTCTGACAAATGTGTGTCCATTGCAATACAAATACATGTTTGAAAATTTGCAGAATGGGATACGGTGAAAGAAATTTGGGAGAGAGAAGAAAAGGCGCAGGCTAGCAGAAGAACGAGCAGACTTCTTAGTAAGCCCAGACAACTCATGGATGGACACGAGACATGGAGGACCTCGAACGGAGGTTGTCGTCAGAAGAACATTTACAAGAGTCTCAACAAATATGGAGCTCTCAGACGCTTAGGTCCTATTTGATTCGAATCACTGAGAATGAGAAGTAACGATGGGATTAAGATTGAAAAAAACCTATTAAAAAAGTATATTTAATATGAGGAATTGCTTGTTATTACCATGGACACTTTTCGGTAATCTTTTTTGATATACTGGTCATGTGACAAATCTAACTCTTTCCGCTCCATTCCACTTCCACATATGGCTTCAGGGTGACTATAGAAATCTTTTTCAATGATTTGATAACCACTTTTAATTGAAAACTCTCCACTCTATATCATAATGTCAGTGCCAAAGAAGGATCTCAGGGAGAATGCTGAGCACATTCCATCCTCATCATAATGATGAGTATGAAATGCTTATTGCAATTGGAACTATCCAGATCAATTTCAAATGATCTAGATTGAATTTAATTTTTTATACATTTTAATTAATTTTTTGTTTTAGTAAATACAGAATTTAAAATACATATATTCTTATAGCTAACACTTCTTTGAAAAATAAATTTATCATTGAAAAAAAATTATATATTAAAAATTTTAAATACGAATCATTCATATAAGATTTTAAATGGCTTATATTGTATTACAGTGATAAGCATAAGACACTCATTGCTGTGATGAGAAATGACAGATATAAGTGAAGAAATTACCCCATTAGGTTAAGTGGATCAAATTAAAATCCCATGTTCCATTGCTCAACCACTCAGCTGCAGTGGAATGTTGTTCAGCAAGTGTTAAGAGATCCCAAGCAGAGATCCTCAATTCATTTCTCATTAAACCACCAACAATAATCCTCAAAAAATTTGACACTTTCCCTATCTCTTGTCCTCCACCTAGTCCCCAGTCTCTGCAATATATTTCTGTTGCAGAAGTTCTGCCCATATTCCCTTTGAACCGGTAACCAACTTTCAAGCAATCTGGTGCAGAAGTTCTCGTTTATTATTTATTTTAAGAAGAATATTAATTGTTTTAACTCACTTATAATTTAAGTCATTGAATTTTAACTCTATGCAACTCACTTCGCATAATTTTAACTCTTAATTTCAATTTGGCGCAACTTAAACCGATCAAGTTCGTTTAAAATGTTAAAAAACCCATTGTAGCAGAGCTTCCTTGACTTTCGATTTCACAAGCTCCCAAATTGACATCATGACTCAGCATATTTTATACTCCTCCGGTCCTTAATATAGGACTCAATTCTTGAGTTGGTTTTGGTCTTAAATATAAAACTCATTTATCATATTTATCAATTTTCTCTAAATTACCCCTATGAATACTCCCTCAACCATAATCAAGTAGAAGAGGGAGATGGGATATTAAGAAAGATGATTATGGTGTTTTAGGAAAAATGTGTTACTTTTCTTATAATTAACTAACTTACCTAACTTCCTTAATCTAATCAAATTTGTTAAATGGGTCTTATATTAAGGACCGGAGGTATAATATAAGAACTAGTTGACTAATTTGAATAGATTAAAAAAATTAATTAGTTAAGTTAGTTATTTGTAATAATTAGGTGTTGTCTTTCCTAAAATATCTTTGTTAATCAAGTATATTGGTTAAAATTACTATTATCACCAAGGAACAAAAAACCGGACCGGGTATTAAACCGGTTGAGACAGTGGGTCAAGAGTTACTGGTCGGACCGAGGTCGGACCGGTCATATTAAAATAAAATAATTTAATTCATAATATTATGTATCTTGTTGATAAAAATGCAACCAGTAAAGGATATACTCCTCATCAATTGAATACGATGTATCTTGTTGACTCCATCTTAAAACTTTAAAAGTACTATCAGTTGTGATTGATGGGGGCCGAAGCAAGAACGGTGAATGCTGTTTATAAGCTTATTTTTTGCGATGCCTTAACATTAATTTACTTACAGTTCCAAATTCCAATGCAAGGCAAGTATATTTTTGCCATAAATCATATCCTCTGTCTCTCAACTAAAGATTTTTCTCTTGTTAAAATTTAAAACGAAAAAAGATACTTTTCCTAGGTACAATCTTTACATGCGCAGCAGCGTAGGAAATAACCGGTTATCTCCTCCCTTCCCAAACCTTTCGTTCAACAGCAAAAGAGAAAGAAGGCACAATCCAGCTGAAAGGGAAAATTTTTGAGCTTACCCACACACAACTTAATGCATCGAAGAGGAAGGGAACGCTAACTTGCGATGAAGCGATTTTGGGGCTTAGACCTGCGGCAACTTGCGATGATTGCGATTTTGGAGCTCAGACCCTCAGACTTACGAGCTTAGATGGTTGAGGGAGACCGGAGATCAGACTTGCGAGATTGCGATTTTGGAGCTCTGCCGAACAAGGAGCTCTGCCGGAGATCGCCGTGCTGTCAGTGACGCTAGGGAGCAAGGATTTTGGAGGAGGTGATTTTGGTTTTAGGGAGGGAGGCGAGATGCTATTTTACGAGCCAGAGGAAATGGGGAATCAGATATTCAGATTCGGGGAGGGAAATAGGGGGAAGTCGACGGGAAAGGGAATTAGGAAAGGAAGAAGGAATTTTTTTTTTAAACAGAACCGGCTGACCCAGTGAACCGGGATTACCCGGTTTTGTACCGGTTATGACCGGTTCAACCGGTTCTTTACCGGTTCGATAGGCCCCCGGTTCAACTCCTGAACCAGACCGGACTGCAGACCGGTTCACCGGTTTTCCGGTCGAACCGGCCGGTCCGGTCCGGTTTTTTTTCCTTGATTATCACAAAGACTATCTTAGAAAAAAATAAATAAATATGAGAGACAAAGTGAACTGGGATCTTATATTTAAAATCAAAATAAAAGTTAAATAAAATCTTATATTAAAGATAAGAGGTAGTATAACATAACGGTGATACGAGATTCTAACTTAAGCTTTTTTTTTTCCTTCGAATTGAAAGGGGCAAGCAAAGCTTGTTACAAAAAAAGAGATTACGGGAAAGTTTAAATCTTGTCCAGTGCATATTGAGGTGCAAGATTCTAGCTGGACTAAAGCTAGAATTTTACATGAAATAAAACTAGAGTCTCAATAAATATTTTAAATAGCTACAATCATAGTGATTTTGCACCGAATCAAAATTTCGAAATTGAATTTTAACCAAATCAAAACTACATCAACAATGTTAAAACATGTTAAAGAGTTTAATTTTCGCCATATGTTTATCTAGACAATTCTCCATCATTGCTGGGGCAGGTCCGAATCCGACGACATCTGGATTCGGATATCCGAGACAATTGAATGGTGTGCACAAAGCCAAGTTTATAAGCACCTTATCCTCTGTTCTGTTGTGATGTACAACAAACAAACCTTCATCTTCAATAGAGATTTTATTATAGTGAACAATTTTTTTTTTAAAAAAAAGTTAAATTAAACCATTATTGAAATTTGATCTAAACAGGAGAAGACGAAGAGTTATTGAACTAAACCATCATCAAAATTTAACCTCTTGAACATGAGGTATTGAGCTCAAGTCTATGTGAATGCAGAAAATGTCTTCAGAAGAGTTACCTTAATTGTGTCTGATAATACTCACAACTCAATCAATCAAATAGCCATCTCAAGAGCCAGAAAAAGTGAAGGAAGAGGAGGACAACACATAAATTGGAAACATGTTCGTTGATGGCCATCTAATCAAATAAGAGTTATATATCAGATGGCCAGCAACAAACACATATCCATGGTTGCCGCATAATCCAGTGATGAAGAAGAGAGTCTGCAACTTTGGCTGCAAATTCAAATGAAAATGTGAAAATCCAAAGTGGGATTTAAATAAATATTATGAAAAGGGTTTATTCTGAGGTTTATTCTCTCGGAGAAAGCACATCGATTCTAATACTTACTTTCTCACGTCTCTTCTTTTTTCAAAGTCTGAATAATATTAAGAAAGGTTTGGTGGCCGACCCTTGTTGGTGAGATTGATCTATTTGATGATGTTTAGTCCTTATGGACAAACCAAAAGTCAAATACTTGCCATGGATCATTTTGTCTCCTTTCCATATGTGCTTGCTTTTTATTTTTAGATGTTGATTATTATATCTGTATTGTTTTCATTAAACATAATTCAAATTAAGTCAGTTAATTTTTTTTTTACTAATTTTTCTTGTTGAAAGATCAAAGATATACTAAGTTTCAGGTTTAAAGTACTTTTGCTTTCATATTTTTAATCTCCTAATTTATTCTGTATTTTATTTTATCCAGAATAAAAATATTAAAATAAACAATTTTCAAGTGCCATTATGTTTGAAATAAACATGCCTAGTTGAATTTGATGACTTAGAATATAAATTCTAGTATAAATCAATATATTGAGAACCAAATTTCCAATATTACTTGTATTTAAGTTGAGGGATTTTTTATTTTTTATTTATTTTTTAAAAAAGCTCCCTCCCTAGCTCCCTTCTATCCAAACGGCAGCATTAATAATATTTGAAAGTTGAAGGAAAACATATCTCACACCTTCCATAAGTGATAACAAAATGAAAGTTACATAATCTTGTAATGAAGTTTCAGGATTTTCACCTTTTCCAATTTAAGAAATCCATTGATAAACTGTTTAAGAGTAGAACCTTGACCAATCATTCATTTACACCACAATGTAGAATGTGTTGCACATAGTGATACAAAGCATTTCCCTAATCAACTAGGTTTGCTTTATTCTCAGGTTGATCTCACACTTCAACTGGATTTAAATTCAAACCCCATCACCATTGAACGAAAGGTAATTTATTCTAGATATAGATCTCTTGCAATGCCTATATTTTACAAAGCTCAAATGTAATTATGATGCTCCTCTGGTCCTATTTGGAGGCCAAAAATAGTTTCCCCCCCTTAATATCAGTCCAAGAACATACACTTTTGTCCCTGATTTATCATTCTATAAGTTATGATTTTCGTAGAAAGTATATATATTAAATAAGAGTAAAGTTAAAATGTCATTAAAATTTAAGACAAAATTAATGAGTTTAAGTTTTTTTTTTTTTTAAATTCTAGTGAAACATATTAAAGTACCTTAAAAATAAGACCAAAAAAGTAGGTTGCATTTGCGTGTGAGATAAAAGATCCATTGTAGAGGATCCAAATCCAATTGAGGCTAGTTTTACTCTATAAAACACTGTGCATGGTACAAGAATGATACTATTTGTAAGCGTTCACATCACACTTTATGATATATTTTCAAACCTATATACCTTGTTGTCTATAGAGAAACAGAGAACAGACACTGGCAAAAAGAAAAGCTATCAACTAAGGGTCAAGTGAATTTAGTCAGTCCATGCCAGCATCATGCTTATGTATAGATGGTAAGAGCCATTTGAAAAAGCCAACATTGGTCTCTCCTTTCCATCTCAACGTTGAGTACTCAATTAACATGTTCCAAAGGTCCCCAACCGTCCATTGATGTGATAAAATCCAATCAGCAACCTGCAACAACATGTGAAACCATGTTTTTTGGACATCCTGAACCGAAAGACCAAGAGTTTATGTTGACTTGTGTTAATGGAGCTGTGCGAAATAAGGATAGTTTAATTCATGAAAGATTTTATTGCTTATGTGGAGAATGAAAAGGAATTAGGGATGAGACTGAGTATAGAAAGCGAGGAAACGACTAGGGAAGGATAACCATATAGTAGTTAGGAATTTCAATGATCCTTTCAGATTTGGAAGCTGTGAATGAAAGGTCTAGATACCTGATCTAAGTGCCGCAATGCCTCCGAGCCAAACGTGTAGTATGCTATAAATGGTCTTAGAGCCTGGAACATATGAACAAAAGAAGAAAACAAGCCTTTGAGCATGAATGGAGAAATATAAACAGTAAATGATATAAAATCTTTTTATTTCATCTAATATCATTTACGGTGCTATTCAAGGGTTACAAACAGTAAATGTGAACATTCTGTGTAAATCAAATCAGACTAAATGAGTAAACAGATTTGACAGAGTCTTGAAGTTTCATGCGATTTCACCTTGTCAACAAACAGATTTAGTATGCACATCAGCTTCCCGGCACTTGTACAATTTTAGTATCAACAATCAAGAAACAAGATGCTAAATATTAAATTTGAAAAGTTTCAATTCCAGTTGTTTCATTTTCATCCATTTTCTGATCTGATGTTAGACTTTGAGCCATACCAATTGCACTAAGTTTCAATCACATCATCCACCACTGAAAGGGCCAAAATGCCCCAAAAGGGTTAACTCAACTAGTAAGAGGATATGACCTTACCCTTTAATAACCTGGGTTGGATCAAGGGAGCACTCTAGGACTAAAATCTTTAACGCACTAGATTAATGTCAAGGAGAGCAGCTTTACAATCCTCAAGGGAGGGAATTTGACTCGGACAAAACCTAAGGATTCACTAACCATAATACCCGGCAAGAAGATACAAATGCAGATTGTTCATCAACATTTTCATACCCCAGAAGTACACTCAACCATGCCACATCAAATTGAATTACATGTACAACAAATGCAATACATATAGGTTACGTTTGGTAGGAAGCATTAAAAATAAGGGATTGGGATTGGGATTACAATTTAAAAAATCTATTAAAAGAGTATTTAGTATAAGAGATTGCTTGTTATATGAGATTAGCCAAACCCATGTATGTATGATTGGAGAATACCATGGAGGGAAGTGGTATTCCCCAATCCCACCTCTATGCGTTTGCCTAATCCCATATAATAAATAATTACTCATGCTAAGTACTATTTTAATAATTTTTTTCAATTGTAATCCTAATTGCAATCCCTAATTTTCAATGCTTCGTACCAAACAGGACAATAGGGACATTCACTTTAATGTTTAGGTGCATGTAAACGTTTCCGGATTATTCAGATGACTAAATAATGAGAATTTTGAACATAATCATATCATGATTGCTGTGAATATAAAATTACTTGAGAAGCAGCAAGCCACTGAATTATGGTCTTTACTTCAGGATCTCCTCCAAAGGCACCGCATCCCCAGTTTCCAGTAGCAACCCCAATACTATCGTGCTGCTCCTCACCATGACAGCTCTTTGGAGAATTTCTGAATGCTTCATCTGCAGATTGTACTTTGCTCACTTCCACAGATGTTGAGGTGGAAGCATAAACCTGTGGACAGAACAACGAATGTGCAAGAAAACCAAAATGATCAAAGAAGACAATCTATGGTATCAATGTATCTTAAATGAAGTATTCTCATTAAAACACTATAGCTGCTTATGTCCAGGCTATTCAAACATCATACATCAAAAGGAAAACCCAACCAGCTCAGAACTTCTGTTATCTTGCAATATTTTCCGGCACGGCTGATGTGTAGTTTGACTCAAAAAGCCACAGAATGCCTTGTTGATCTCACTGCAGGAATGAAGGTGCTGAAATCAGTTTTCCTTTTTTTGTTTTTTTCAATGGAACCAAAATCAGTATTTCAATATTGTTACAATTTGTAAAAAGTGAAAAAGGAAGATAATAATTGCATAATAATCCACTCTAAAACTATTAATTTTACATATTGCTACTCTGCCCTTTTAGTCATATGGTTTACTATTTACTTAATATGTTTAGAACTGGCATGCCACGCGCACCCTATAATGCCCTCAGAATTCACGGAGACTGAAGTTCATTGGGTCTTGTAAACTAAAAAAGTTTATAAACAAGACTTTTGTCACTTGTTGGAGTCACAGACACTAGTTTGGCCAACTTCTCCTCAGCTTGACCTCGTTAACGATTCTTACATCAAGAAATTAGTGTTCACGGACTATCCATCATCCCAAAATCCCAAATTATACTCGATTTGATTGAGAAAAAGCGTCCCAAATCAATTCTAAACATTTTCTGGGAATAATGCAGGATTCACAGTGTACTGAATTGCAATTTTCAAGGCACAATAATCTAACGTAAGGTGCTTGCATGGATGCATCATCCAATAAACCAGCATTCCAATAAACCAAGATTTACAAACCGGAGAAGAAACTTTTCCCTGTATTGTCTCATCCCTGGGCCACATAATGCATCAATTGCAACAATCCGGGTTTTACGTCTTCCAAGTTCATCTATGTCCCTTTTATCCACATAGCCACCAGAAAATCGAAATGAGGAGGCATACCTAAACAAATCAGCAAATGTAGTCATAATCAGTATATGAAGATACAATCCCGCAATTACAGAATCTCTACGTCCAAAAGGTTAAAGCCTAATGTCTTTGACATCAATCAAATTATTACTTTCATATCTAATTTATCCCGCTGCATGAGTGCAAACAGCAACACAGAATGATAGAAATATCGTGACATATTTTCAGTCTGTTTTATTATTTAAAGGAGATAAAACGTACTGACCCAGCTATTAAAACTTCAATTTTTTTCTCTTGGCTATTAATTCAGACTTCAATTAGAACATCATCAATGACATATTTATAAATGAACTATTTAAAAGAAAACTAAGCCATGGAGCTTCATTGGGGATGTAAATAATATCTTTGTACTTCAGTGATACAAGAGAGTTGTAACAGAAGTTAGTGAGTAGAGAATAACTAACAGAGTTGCATAAAAATTTAGCTTAAAGTTAAACTAACTAATTTGAGATGAAACTGTGCATAACAGCATGAATTTTAAAGCAAAATTAAGTCAAAAGTTGTCAAAATTTAAGTATGGAGATATATACTGTAGCTATGCGCATTTTTTTCCCTTAAAATTATTAGTCACTTAAGGTTTAAAATTAGTCAAGCTGCATTTACCCAAAAAAAGTCAACCTACTACAAATCTCCAAGCAAAATTGCATAAAAATAATATAAACAAATAAAAATTAATACATCCCATACTTTAACTCTCACTCATTATTGAATAAAACAAGCCAAAAAAAGAAAGCAAAAATGTTCACATGCCTACTCAAATTCACACAGTTTAAATCCTTCATTGCTGCATCATACAAGATTCCCAATAGTACAGTCAAGCAAAGCCAACCGGTAAAAAATGTATCATTAAATTTTCCAACAATTTTGAAGGATATGTATTTGGCCAGGCAATCATTCCCATCGAGTGTTAAAATTAATTTTATCCATCACATTTAACATGGACATGGCAAGCAATGAACTTCAGTTATATAAAGATCTCAATTTTATATTAACTGACTAATGCTCACCCTGTATAACTGGAGAACCTTTCCACCCCAACGATTTCTATAGCCTCATTTTCTGCCATTGAAGGCAAGAAAAGCATGCCAACAATCAATTCTGGACTGACCATGAAGCGGATTTCCTCCTATATCACGTCGTTACAAAACAGTATTATATATCGAGGTGGTGATTTTCTAGAAGGAAAAGAAAATGTCAAGTTGTCAACCTACAACATTTACAAGAAGACAAAAACACATTTGCAGAAAACAGAGACAAGATATCAGGCACACTGTCCTCAAACACAAAGAGAAATTGTGACTTAAAGGAAAAAGCCATAGTTCCAAAGTATTCAAGCATAAAAAATAATAGATGAGAACATAAGCTTATCATACCTGTACACAGCCTCTACGAAGAGCACCACCACCTAGATACTTATTTGCAAAGTCCACTTCAAGAGCTCCACCTGATTGATCCTCTATGACTCCAGAACTATGAGTCTATATGCCAAATGATCACATGAGAAACTAAATGAAACTTTCATGTTAAAAAAAACAACATAATTTTTTTACAATTTAAAATGATTTTTTTCCATTGACAACCTCAAATCTGCATAGAGGAATGACAGAAGTGCTCCAAAAATTAGCATCAGGATAAGAAACTTGAAGGTGATTTCCATCAAAGGGAAGTACTTTCCGCTCAAATGAGACAATGCCCTTTGGCATATCAGAGCTTATTCTTTTAAAATAGTGAATGATGCACCAAATCTTATTTTCCTGCTTTTGACTATAATCATCATACAGACTCCTGAAAATATTCATGGCCAGTCTTTTAGATTCAGAATTCTTCGACAGTAGATGAAACAAGAAATTCAATACTTGGTGCTAATAGACAATAAATTGTACTGGAGAATATATGCCTTGAAAGAGAAAAAAATAGAAGCAAGTAAATAATGCCATAGACCAATTGTCCTTTTGATTCATTAGTGAGGCTTAGAAACTTTTGAGAAAATACAAATAAAAGATAAAATTTAGGCAATGCAGCTTTTGATAATATTGCCACTACTAGCCAGCAGGCCTCCAAAAAGAAAAATAAAGTCTTAATAATCAAGGTTGTCATGATCTTGATTTACAGTCCTAAACCATCAACACATTAAACTCTATAATCTTCCCTAAATTTCTCCGCTGCAACTACAACCTTATGATTGTTAGACATGAATTTTAACCAATGTACATTGTATTCAACATGTCTGACAGCATATAGAAAGTAAAGTATTAAATTCTAAAGTCCTATATACCATAGTTGTAATTATGCTAGAGTTTGAGGGTGCGTATGTAGTTTTCTCAAATTTTGAAAGCTCATGCTCTTTCTCCCAAGCTCCATTGGGGGAAAAAAAAAAAAAAAAAGTCCGAGCTCCAATACCCCACCCCCTCCCAACCAATCTCCCTCTCTCACTCACAGATATGGCATTGGCTCCACCATTCTGACACCACTACTACCAATGAACAAAATGAAAATTAAAATGGCAGAACAAGCATAGTTGTTAGTGGTGCCAAGGCAAAATGCCATAACGTTTAAAAATTCAAATGCAATTATGCACTACCATAAATAGAAAGTACAGTAAGTCATAGTGCGCCAGCATAGAGATCACCTGCCATAAAAGACTGTTCAGAGCTCCAACAAATATGGCTAAAAGTTACTTACGCAAACAACTCATCAAAGTTGATTGGAGGAAGATCTTTATAAGTCCTATTATCGTCTGGGAATAGGCAAAAAAGAGAGCAACAAAGGAGAGCAGCAACTAACTCCTGAAAGGAAGCAAGTAATTCACTATATTAACAAATGACTGTAATCTCATCAAATTTTCATGCCACTGGTGGCCCTAAAGCCACCAGAAAAACTCATACTCAAAGCACACGACATCATAAACATGTTATGCATGTGAAGGATTAGCTAGGAATGCATCACATGGACAATGGGAATCAACTGGTTTGAAGCAAATGTTTTGCAGATTTGATCATCAGTTTCTGTCATGCTGGTAACATTCATGAACAACTAAGTTTGCAAATCTTATAACTCTTTCCAATCTATATAGAACTTGTATCCATTCATTACTCCATAAAATTCAATTTTCTAACCAACTTCCAACAAGAGGTCAATAAAGCCAAATACAAGTACATAAAATATTATAAAGGCAAACCTGTCTGAGGAAAACTATTCCAGCTTCCTGTGATTCAAGCAAGCGTAAACCAGCACCTCCTTCTCCATCTACAATCATATCTGTACTTTGATAGTGTTCTTCCAAGAGAGAGGGAAACCGCAAAAGTAAATTTGCCAATGCTGGAATTACCTCTTCAAACCACTTCTTAGATTCCACGCCAGACATCAGCTGAATCAACAGGCCATAATTTCAGCAACCCAAAGACATGTTAAAAGGCCATAAGAACTCCTTCCAGACCCATATTTCGGCCATTTAAGGCTTGATTGTGAGGACAGCTCAGGAGTGGATGGAGGGGACTAAGTGTCCAAATTCTAACCACTAATTGGATGTGTAAAAGCAATGGAATGGGGTGAGTTCAAATGAAATGGAGCCCATCCCAACCCAACGCGCAATTTTACTCAGCTCCTCCATAGTAAGCATTTGTATTGGATTGAATTATCAATAAATTTTCATCTTCTCTGCTAAACCGCTCCATACCTTTCTTATGTTTTGCATTTTAAAATAAGTCACAGTAGAAATCCCACTCTTCAGACCTACCACACTTCATTAATGGCATTGGAACATCCAAACAATGGGAGTGGATTACCATTAAACTTCAACAAGAGTAACCATCCGTCATTTAAGTTTGGGCTCAATTTCAATTTCATCCAAAAGTTTTCTGTCAATTTCGTCCTGCATGTTCATAGAACTTCTCTATCTCTTCATTATTTCTAACACCATTCAAATTGCTAAGAAAATTAGCTAAACAGTCAAACATGAAGCCATAGCCAACATTAGATGCAAACATGGATACTACATTACCATTCAAGGTATCAAACCCAACATTTCACCCAATAATCTTGAGCATGAAGAGGGTAAGAAAAACAAAATGATGCCACTTTGAGTTTATCAGGTGTGCATTGCACGTTCCCGAAAAGGGTCCTTCGACCTTAAAATTTCAATTAACCGAGCCATGTGCCCGCCAACTGACTCTATAAAACACTCTGCTCAATCCATGACCAACAAAACCCGATCTTTTCAAAACTCTCAATCAAACCCCATAAAAATATCGAACGAAATCGATCATTAAACGCATGCAAATGCAACTAGCATCAAAGTAGCACGTAGTTAGGACAAGCTAACTGTATATTACCTCGTCGAAGAAGAAGGCGTAACCTTGTGAGGCGGAAGGGGCTAGAGGTTGAGTACAGAGACAGAGAGAGTTCCTGAGGTCGGAAATGGCGAGGAACAAGAGCTCACCGGAGTCAACTTGGCTATGAAGAGGCCCTCTTCCCAGAGCTTTGAGTGCTTCCACAACTTGGGACGGCCAAAAGAGAGAGGAAGAACGAAGAAGAAGGGGCAGAAATGGTAAAATTGACCTCAAGTCCTCTCTGTCTTCCATAGTTTCTTCCTTTGTGATTGCGAATGGAGAGGAAGAGGAGGACAACGCTTAAAAGCAAACGCAGGAGGAGGAATTCTTAGGTACTCCCAGAGTACCACGTAACCTGTACGCTGACTAATAATATGATGCCATGTGAAGTAACTTTATCCCATCTGTCAGCTGACATGTCAGCTCTCACACTCTCTCATATTTTAATAAACTCGCATCGAAATTCGTGGCCCTTTTAATCTCCTCTATTCTCTCTCATGTACATCCCTTTTTTAACGCCTATTCGCTATTTCCCCTCATTCAGGCACATCACTTGGCCCCCCTCCTCTGGTATTTCTCTTCCCTCCTTCGCACTTGTATTGCAAAAATTTTAAGATGATTTCTTTTTCATTCCACAAATTTTATTTGCCTTCATATTTCTATAAAAAATATATAATTATAATTTTATATATTATAATCATTTGAATGGTTGAATTTGAAGACAAAGTTAATAAAACTTAAAAATTTTCTTAGTTTATGTGAAACATATTAAAAATAATTTATAAATAGAATAGGAGAAATAAAAACTAGTGGACTAAAATATGCTATATGAATTTAAACAACATAACTAAAATGTAAATTCAAAAAATCTAGCCTAACTTAAAAATTTGTTGGGAATTGCAATAATTTAAATGCTTGCATAAAATGCAAGAGACTCATAAAATTATATAATTAGAATTATAATTTTGGTATATAATTATTTTAACATGTTACTTGATTTTAATATATAAAATTATAATTATATATTTTTTATATAGATATAAAGGTAAATAAAATTTGTGCAATGAAAAAGAAATCATCTTAAAACTTTGCAATATAAGTGTGAATGAGGGAAGAGGAGCATCGGAGAAGGACGGTCGGAGGGTCAGAGTGACACGCCTGAATGAGAGAGAGGGAATAGCTGAATGGGTGCTGAACAAGGGACGTACATGAGAGACAATATAAAAGATTAAAAAAGGACACGGATTTCTATAAGAATTTATTAAAATATTAGGGTGGGTGGGGAGCTAACATGTCAGCTGACAGATGGGATAAAATTACTTCACATGGCATCATATTATTGGTCAGCGTACAGGTTACGTGGTACTCTGAGAGTACCTAAGAATTCCTCAGCGCGGGAGTTGCCAGTTGCGCGTATGGGCTTATAGGCTATAGGTTAATGGGAACTTTGATTAAAAAATCATGTTTGAAAAATTTAAGTGAATGTAATTATAATATGTGAATATAACGTACCTGTGTATAACATATCTTTCTTGAAAAATTCTTAGCTGAACCTGGTCTACCACGTCATTTTTTATATGATCAACCATAAGCTAATAACTCAGCTAATTTTAATTCTAGTTGACAGATGATTAAGCAGCCCCAATCAATTCAAATTTTATTTTCTAAACAAATAAATAAGGGTCCGAGGTTCAAAGGGAGAAATTGAAGGGGTTAGCCGGATTTGCATTGGGTGCTCATCACTTATCTGGATCGTCCATATCTGATCTGGACAGTCCAGATTTATTTTTATTTTTATTTTTATTTTTTAAAAATAATTATTTTAATAGGTAGAGAATAAAAAATAAAGATAATTTCTTAACTATCATTTTTTAAAAATATAATTTTTTCTAATTTTAAAATAATTATTTAATAATATTAAATCTAAACCGTCCAGATTAAATCTGAACCGTTTAGATTAAATCTGAACCGTCCAGATTGTCCAGAACACCAAATGGAAGCCCGGGGTTAGCCTAGCCTTCCAAAATCTTCTTCGCCAACGAGGAGTATGTCGCGTTGCCGCCGGAGAGTCTGTAGCGTTGCCGGCTAAGAGTCCGCAACTTTGCTGCATCTTCAATTTCAGTTTCGCTTCTAGTGCGCGTTCTTCCTACGGCATCTCTCTCGGCACGCACTCTTCATCAACTGTCGCACCTTCTGTCACCTTTTTGTTTAGAATTGGTCTTGGGTAAAGAAGGTTTGTAGCCGTGGATGGCATCTTCAAACTCTAGGTCTCCACCGATGCTTGGAAGGGACAAATATCGCAGGTGCTGGAACTTCTCTTTTATCTTTGCGGCGCTACTGGTTGGCAAATGAGTTTGATTCAATTTCTGGAGGAAATAATTTATTTCAACTTCTGAAATTAACAAAAAAAAAAAAAAAAGGGACTCGACAAACCATGGAGAACCCTGACTCCCCTCGGCGCATCCTCTCCCGGTGACTTCCCTGTACTCGGCGACCCGAGCCAATGAAGGCCTCGAAATTTTGAGATTGCGACTATGAGGAGGCGTTGCCCAGTGAGATGGCCTGAATCTAAGATCGATTTCTTCCCTTAGGTGTTCTCCCGCTCTTCTTTCCCCTTCTATGCAATTCGTTTTTCTACTGCGCCGGCTATGCAGGACATATTACTTGGGAGCCTTGAGGGGTTTGGCGGATAAAAACTTGGGGCTAACGGAAAATCACATTCATCCACCAATATTTAGGTAGAACCTCAAGTTCTTTATTCATTTGGTAATTTGGTCATTGGAATGCATGGCATCATTATCATTGCCTTCATAAAAAAATCATTAGTCATGTCAAAATCAATATACATTTTCGTGCAATCTAAGTTTTTTGTATCTTTGCTGGATATAATATAAGTTTGTTGTATTGAATGGGTGTAACAAAATTCATATAAATTCTTGATATAGCTCGCCTTCGGTGTAGGAATAAATTTCTCAGCATATGAACTTTCTGTAAATATTATTCTGCTTCATTTTTCTACCAAATTTTGGTAATAAAGATTTGGACAAATTCGTAATATTTGATTTTCGATTGTCAAAGTGCAGGATACGCAGAACATTTGTTGAAGCCAGCATCCAATGGCATCAAGTAAAGTTGATATTGGTGGAATTATGAAGACTCATGAAGGAGATTCGTTTAGACAAGGAGCAAGTCTCAAATGAATAATACAATCATAGAAGCTATGAAAATCTTGTTTTAGAAAATTGCTTATTTGATGATAATTAGAGTCAAGTTAATATTTATTATCAGCTTTTATAAATGGCCTTTGAACTTCGGGCTTGAAAATATTTTTTGAAGTCTTGGTTTGAGGGTCTTGTACATAGCGACACTAGAACGGGAAGAAGTTCAATACCTTGTTGGGATGATTGTGGTTGTGTATGGTTGTATTTTCTTTACTAGTTTGCTTGTAAGAGCCAGTCTTAGCTTGGAACCTATATCAAATTGAATGAATGAAGTTTGTTTACGCTTGTCACTATTACTTTACATCTATGCTTATTTGTGCAGGTTTAACATGGTATATGATGGTAGACTTATGACAGTTTTTTATATATGTAGGTGTACATCTCATAGGAGATGGGATATATGTGGCAACTTCATATAATAAAACCGATGCAAACTATTGGCTATGGTTTTGAAAACAGAGCAACACAATCAGCATAATAAAACTTCATCCCCTGCAAGTAATTGCCTATCACAAGTTACACGCTATGGTTGTCAAAGCAAAATTATTAATAACCACTAATGGAAAGTAATAATACAAAGTCAAAAGCATAAGATGAAATAACATTTGCAGCTTATTTTCTTAAAAAATTAATTACATCTGCCCGATTAGCCTTCTAATAACATATTTGTATTTACATTCACCTGGCACTGAATAATACATTGAAAAAAACAAAGTCAAACTAGAGAGCTCTCCTAGCCGACAAATCTACATTCAGAAATCTTCATCCCTGTACTCTTCATCATTCCACCACTGATTTGGACCAATCGCTTCCCCAACAATTCTATACCAGCAAGCACGAGCTCTGAGACATTCTCTAAAAATATGAAAAAGTGCCTCTTCCTCACCACATCCAAAGCTACACTTCTATCAAGAGCCAATTGTCTTCTAACCCTTCAGAATTAGTGAGAACTCTATCTTGTGCAACTGGCCATTTGAATATTCAAGTCTGAAAAAGACCAGCATCGCATTAGGGAATTATAATATCAGAGCAGTGATATACTAACTAGAGATCTAGCAATTTGAACACGTTAAGTAATTTCAATAAGCACAAAGCAGGTTCGCAAGAACATTTGAACATTCAACTGGCTTTCTTTTCATTTTGATAGTGCATACCATCATTTCATTATAAATTAGACTACTGCCTAACAAATGTCTTTAGTTACTTGAGCAAACTGCATTTTGACATAACACCACCGATGTAGGTTCGCAAGAAACCACTAAATAAGAAAGAAATAGCAAAGAAAGAGGAAAATCTAATCACCATAGATTCCTGTGCTGACACGATTAATGAAAGGAAACTTAAGGTGAGTAACTATGTAGTGGATTGTCTAAAAAAACTTAGCTTTTTATAATATGACAAACTTATTATGATAAAGAATTATGCATAAACCTGAAAAGGATATCATAACATAATATTATGCATAAACATTGTCTATTTCTTAAACATTGGGTCTGACTAGGATGGGTTTAATGGAACAGTCACAAAATATGTAGCAAATCATACGTATAGCTTATACATCTAACACTAATTTCCCATCAAACATTTTCCCATAAGAAGGAATTAATTAAATGGACACCACTAACTCTACGTCAATACAGAACAAGACCTTTCCGCCCATAAATATCTTCCGTTTAACTTACAACTGAAAGCTCTTGCTCTCTTCCCTAACAATAAACCATGTCTTCATCCCAAGGTGGTCCATTTATCCATGTAGAGGGAAAAAGAAAAACTTGATATAATACTTGGAATTGCCATTCAAATATAGAGACATGAACATCAGTTTGTGAACAAGCTAGACTAGTAGTACCACAAAGATAAAAGATAGAAGTTTCAGAACCTATGATATTTGTCCCTTCCAGGCAACGATAGAGACCTAGAGTTTGAGGATGCCGTCCATGGCCACGAACCTTCTTTACCCAAGACCAACTCTAAAGGAGACGTGCCACAACGTGCGACAGATGATGAAGAACGTGTGCCGTGAGAGATGGCATAGGAAGAACGCATGCCAGAAGTGAAACTAAAATCAAAGATGCAGAAAAGCTACGGACTCTTCACTAGTGATGCTAAGGACTCTCCGACGGCAACGCCACATACTCCCCATTGGCAAAGAAGATTTTGGAAGGCTGGGCTAGGGCATACTTCTTCAACCCCTTCAATTTCTCCATTGAACCTTGGTGACGAGTTTTTTTCCCAGAATTTAGAGGTTTATTTATTTGTTTGGAAAAAAAAATTGAATTGATTAGGAGCAAGGGAATCATCAGCCAACTAGGATTAAAATTAGCTGAGTTGTTAGCTTGTAAACCTTTGAATTCGGAATATGGTAAAGTACAAATGGTGTGGCAGACCAGGTTCATGTAAGAATTTCTCGCACAAGGAGTGTATTCAACAATGGTCGTGCGTCTTTACTTTACCAAATGCCATATTCTAAGCGTTAAAAATTTACCCCTTATAATTTGATTAATGCATAAACACAACAACTATTATTTGATTCGTTAACTACTAGCCGCTTACACCACTTGATCTTATTATTTTTTTTTTTGGACTCACACTTGATCTGATTATAAGCTTTAGCCAAAAGCAAAAAGTAGTCATATTTCTTGATTAAAATTGATCAAACGTTCAAAATAATTAATACACACACAGGTATGTCTGTATCCTACTCTCACAATGAACATTAATGCTATGGAATTTTGCATCTTAGTTAATTATGTAACCAAAGCCTACTAGAAGCATCTAGTGATATTTTACTACTTTCGATTCTTAATTTAAAAATTAGTTAACTAATTTGAGTATATTAAAAAAATTTATTAAATTATTTATTTGTAATAAATGGATGTTATCTTCCTAAAATACCTTTACTAATCATGTGTATTAGTTAGAACTAAAATTTGATGAAACATGTAACATGTGCAACTACTACAAGGACTATCTTGGGAATAATGGATAAGTATGAGAGATAAAATGAATTGGGATCTTATATTTAGGACCAAATTAAAATTCAAACTAATTTTAATATTAAAAATCGGAGGTAGTATCTCCTAAGGAGAAAAGCATAGGACATTATTAACAGTATTTATATTAATTTATTCCTACAGGCAAAAATAGGGGAAGTACATCTCATTTTATATTAACTTTTTTTATTTTATCCAGTATAAATAGGACAACATATTATATGCGAGTCTTAGAATTTCTACCATAATATTGTATAGACAAAGAATTTTTACCATAACATCTAAGAAAATATACATTGTGTAAACAGAAATATAAAAATAACTTTTGTCCGGTTCAAAATTTGTATGGTACACTATCATTGAATTTAGGAACCATCTAAAATTTACTTGACGTCTCATTTTAACAACTTCAATGTATATCAAACTTTAAGAGAATTGAGCTCTTCTTCATCTCTTCTTTTTATTCTCCAAAACAAAGTTTGAATGTTGATTTTGTGCCATGTACAAAGACATGAAAATTCAATATTTATGGATACGAGTTTGAAGGAGCAATTGGAAATATTTGGTTTAGAAAAGAATAGACCATGTGTGATGATAATTCACTACAAAAAAAATTAACTTTGAACGGTAATAAAAGTGCAGCCGAAAGTTTTTAGCGGTGACAAAAATTTGTGGCCCAATCATTGCCATAGTGATTGTTATTGAAACTTATTAGTGGCGACAAAGTGAATTGCCGCTAAAAGACCATTCAACAGCAACACAAAAGTCGCTACTAAAAGACCCTTCAGCGACGACAAAAAAGTCACTTGATTGCCACCTTGCCTATGCCACATGTCCCTACCTTGACGTGCCATATCACTAACTGGATATTATCACCTTAAATATAGCTCTTTCATGGTTCGAACTTTTGACCTCCTCCTTTTACGTGCCTTCTTTTTGCCATTAAGTTGGAATGAATCTAGTGATAATTGTTGCAAAATTAAAAAATATATATACTAGTAATAAAATATTGAAATAGACTTTCAGTGTCCTTTAGCCTAAAGACTATCATATTAAATATTATTAAATAATAATACTATTATCAAATATTTATAATTAATTTTCTTATTTGATTAAAATATTTATTTATAATATCTATTTTTGATTAAAAATATAATTTATACAATATTATTTGTTGTATATTTTTTTATTTTTAATTATTCAAGTTATTATATTATATATGTATGATTTGAAATATGGAAATAGTATATAAATAATAATAAAATTTAATTATAAATTTTATCATGCTTGTTTAACTCTCCCTCACACATATAATTATAATATCTCACTTTCATACACACATTTATTCCTTCCTCCTTCCCTCTCTCTTACTCTCACACACTCCATATTATCTCTCTAACCCTCTCTTTCTCTCTCTTTCTAACACAATAACATGTGAAAATACTTTATTTTGTCATAACAAATCATATTAATGAACAAAATTATTGTCTATATATAATAGTTTTTTTTCAGAAACTTAAAATAATAATACAAAGTTAAAATAGACTTTTTGCAGAGACACGTGAGTCGCTGCTAAAATTAGGTACTTTGCTAAAAGCCCTTTTCAGTAGCAACATTAGGGAACCATTGGATTGATGATGAAAAAAATAATTTATCTTTAATCTGAATTTTAAAAAAATAAGATTAGATAAAAGTTAATTTGGATATGTAACATACAAAAAAAAATATTAAAAAAAAATATATTTTAAAAAAATATTTATTAAATTAAATAAAATAATATTTTATTATTATTAAATTTATTAAAAAAAAAAGAAACAGCTTTCGGTGGAAAGCTGGGAACATTTGACAAAAGGAAGAAATTGGGGGGAGTAGCATTTAATGAAAGATGGAAAAAATGGAATAGGGTAGTTGGATGGTGGAAGGGAAAATAGGATAAAAGAGAGGGAGAGGAGACGGAGGAGGAAGAGAGTGAAGGAAGAGAGAAGAGAGTGAGAAGCTGAGAGGAAAAGAGAGAGAGAGCTAAATTGCAGAGTACCTGACGGTTTTGGAGATCATTTAGGTACACAAAACTACTTCTTGTTATCATATTTTCTTTATGAATATTTCCTATATATTTATATCTTTATATTATTAGTTTCATTATCATGTTTAGAGAAAATTTTACCGTTTGAGTATAGAGTAAATATGGAGTTTTGACAATATATGACCGTAGAAATTTAAAGATCCATTATTAAGGAATTTTAATCGGTTTATTTTTGTTTAATGATTATTTTGAGAATTTTAAACTAAGATTTTAGTTGAAAAGTTTGTTATTTAGACTTGTAATATGTTTTTACCGATTAAATTTGAGTTAAATAATTTATTTGAGTTATTTAATATATTATTGATGTTTTAATCGGCTTAAATATTGAATAAGTTAAATATATATTTTTGAAATAATTTTTGAATGCTTGAAAAATTATAAATTGAGAATTTTGTGAAATTAAATAAAGCTACAGTTTGTTTATAATTAAAAAATATATATATATACTTTTGTTAAATTTAAATAGCCTTATATGTAAATTATTTTTCAAAATAATATCTATTATAAATGTCTAGATTTGGGAGAGTTAATATATTTATGTAATTTTGGTTTAGAGGGTAGTCTTAGAATTTTAGAGTAGCTTTGAGTTTATGTTAATAAATATTTATGTGCAATTTTGTAGACTTGAGGATTTTGGAGTAATCTTTGTGTGAATATTTGTAAGCTAAAGAGTACCAGGTAACTCTGAAAATTCTTTCTTGTACATGTGAATTGTGTATGATTATATTGTGGATTTACTAATTATTATATTCCTGAAATATAATATTATGATTTTGTAAAATAAATGTTTTGGTATGTTACATGATTTTATTAAGATTTGTTGCTAGTAATTATGATCAATATTTAAATATATTAATAGCTATGAAATTATCATGATTGCTATTAAATGGTATATAAGTTTTATTGCTATCTTATTTTTAATATATTTGAGGAGTATTTATGATGTAACATTATTGGCATCTGACATGCATTGTTGGGCTAAGGATAGAAGGAGATTGCATGGATATAAAATTACCACGTGGTATGCCATCACTCGGTGCACAGTGGATGGCACTTGTCAGGGCCCCTTCTTCCATGTTTTCCTTTGGCCGGGAATTCATTGGAGCTGTGGGACATGTGACACCTCCCTATTCACAAAGGAGGGGAGCCATAGTCCGAGCTTGAGCTCTATATCTTTGGCCGGATATATCTCTAGTATCGGTGAGCTTGGAATAATTCAGTAAAATGGATTAGTTCCTATCGGACTATGTGTTAGCCTATGGCTCCAGTCAGCGGTATAAGGGTGGACGGTGATATAAGGGAGGCAGCATATTGCATTATTTTTGGATATATTAGAAAAATGATATTGGTATATTGTTGGGAAAAAAAATGAAATTGAATTGGATGTCTCAAATCCGTGATTTTTAATATATTTATATACACACATATAAACAGATTTTTGGTTTATCATATATGATTTGCTTGTATAGGTTAGAATTTCAGTAGTTACTGAGACGTTTGATCTCACCCCCTATATTAACAATTTTTCAGGCGAAGGATCTAGTAGGCAAGGGAAGGCACCAATGGAGTGAGCCGTGAAGGCTTTTGTGCTCCTCAAGCACATGCTATGTTATATTTTTATTTGCCATGACTATAAGACTTTAATAGTTTATGTTGTTAAGTTATGTTAGAAATGTTTTGAAATTTTGACTTAATTGCAGTATTAAAAATATGTATGGACTTTTAAATTAAATATTTTATCGCGTATATTGATATAATTATGTGAGGTGTTACATTTTTGGTATCAGAGCTGTAACGTTCCATGGCTTTTTAATTAACTTTTATGTAAAGTATTTTCCCAAAAGGTTTGAAAAAAAAAAATGGCTAGGGGTCA